TATATTTAAATTTGCTTTTCTCTCTCTCTCTCTCTCTCTCTCTCTCTCTCTCTCTCTCTCTCTCTCTCTCTCTCTCTCTCTCTCTCTCTCTCTCTCTCCAAGTGCATATCTATTATAGTTCACCAATGGGTTACAAATCAGATTATTATTTTATCTTAAATTATATTGTCATGAGTTTAGCTGCTGTTTGCAAAAAATGATAATTATAGTAACAGACACAGTCTGGTGTGAACATATAAGATTAGGGAGCTTCAAAATTATAATACTATTATTCAAAACTCACTTGAGGTAATATCCCCCCACCACCACCACCTCATACTGTGTTTAATATACAGATGACATTTGCACAGGAGGAAGGGGGCTTTAAGATTATAACTTCTTTATACAAACATGAAGAGATAATTCTGAATAATTCTTATACAGTATTGTGTACAGCGAGTTATTAAAACTCCCTGCCTAGGTGAGGGATGCCTCTTTAGATTGAAATCACATTGCACTATATGGTCTTTCCTTTTTGAAGCTCTCTGTATCATACATTGAAATTTATATACTAAGCAAGTGTATTTGTGTGGTTTTCTTCTCTCTTTTCTTTTGTATTTTTATTTCTTTTTAAATGATATATAATTTTTCATTTTGTTTTTGTTTTTTGCTTTGTCAGTATAGGCTTAGCACAGGTGTGAGATTTTGGATGTCTGAGGACAATTACACTGAATGGTTAAATGTGTATGTCTTTGTGTGTGTGTATTTTTGTGAGTATTTTCAAAATTGGTATTATGCCGCAAAGTAAATTTATATCTGTTTATTGTTTACTAGTACATGCTTTATTTGCTATGCATAACTTAGATGTATTTTGTTTCTTTAACTCTGATTTTCAGTGACTTGTAGCTCTTTACAACTAGCTTCCACTTCAGCTATTTCCAGTTTGCTTTGGTGTTTGAATGAGTGACATTAGCTTTATATTTTTGCTTTGAACACCAAAAACAGTAGATGACATGCTTCATTTTTCACATGGATGTGGGAAACTTTCAAGGTTCACTTCATTGTTTACCAAAAATTAAAAAAAGGAAATTGATGTACTTTCTTCTCAGTACACATTCATCTCAAATGAAAAGTAAGAAACGATTTTACCCAAAAAATTGATGTCTTGAACGTGTAACGTCTTGGAGTATACTTATAGCTTATTGGTATTAAACAATTTTAACTTAAGCCTGTCTTGTTTGTAGGAGTATAATGTCCATGGTACCATCAACAAGTCTAAGATGAGAAGATTGCTCATTCTGAATGATCTTCTCATGTGTACCAGTATAGAGAGAAAGTAAGTAGTACACCATGAGGTAGTATCACATATGGTTAATATTACTTCTTTTTGCTAGTCTTAAGGTTGCTATTAATACAGTTAATTCATTGAATCTGTACTGTAATTTGTAACATACGTTTTTGATAAGAAAAGACATGGTTACAAAGTACATGCACAAAGGAGGCTATAGCCAGTCTCAAATATAGTATTATTTTTCCCCATAGAGGAGGTGGCTAAAGCCATTTTAAATCAGAAATCCAATTTTGTTTCATCACAGTTTTCAACCTTATCAAGCAGCCTTCAGACCCCAGATGATAAAACAACTGAGGGCCATTTGTCCTACCTTCTTTCTTACAACTCTTAACCATGTGTGTGTTTCAGAGAGTCCGAGAGTGGCAGTCTGATAGAGAAACACCGTCTGAAGTGGTACGTCCCTATCAATGAAGTGGAGCTCGTTGACACAGCCATTACGCCTAACATGCAGGTGACAGTGAAGTCGGAGCCTGGGAGGACCACAATCTCTTCACTGAAGCAGGGGACTGTGAAAGGTATGGTGTATGATTTACAGGCCTGGGGAGGGGGGGGGTNTAAGCAGTCTAACTTACTAAGGATTATAAGAGATACAGTGATAAACAATGAGATAGAAAATGCTGGCTTTGATATTTATATTATTATCTGTTATTGTTTTTGACAATAATGTCATTCTTATATCTAGTATTGTTATTGTGATTGTTATCATCATCATCATCATCATTGCCATCATTATTATTATTAATAATTATTAATATTTTTAAATCACTCTGTACAATATTATGGTGGTGGTTGTTTCAAGTTTTATGTTCAAGTTTTCCTGTATTTTAATGGGTAATAGGTAGCACAGTGGCTATCAGTAGGACTTCAAAAGATGAAAAGAAAGACATTTTTTGACCACTTGTTTTCTTGTTTCATGCATGCTGTAGGCTGCCCAGAAGGTAGAAAAATTAACATATTCTGATTTTAAAAATCATTTATAACTCTAGTAAAGACTTTTGCCTGCTGTGTTGCTATGATAGTGTCTTCAATCAGCAGCTAAAATCAGACCTACATAGTTCAGTAACAGCTTTACTCAAAAAGTTATGGACTGATTTTGACAAAATTTTCAGAATAAGTCAGAAAAAAATCTTAGAATTGATACCATTTGGTGATGATCCATCAAAGAATTAATAACTTTATTGTATATAATGAAAATTAAGCCACTTTGCTCTTTCTCTCTCTTGCTCCCCAGGTGCATTTCTATTATAGGTCACTAATGGTGTCAAATCAGATTTTTTTTAATCTTAAATTATTTTGTCATGAGTTTAGCTGCTGTTTGCAAAAAAATGATCAGTATACAAACAGACTCTGGTGTGAACATTTATGACTAGGGAGCTTCAAAATTATGATAATATTATTCAAAACTCACTTGAGGTAATATCCTCCCCCCCCCCCCCACCTCATACTGTGTTTAATATACAGATGACATTTGCACAGGAGAAATGGGGCTTTAAGATTATAACTTCTTTATACAAACATGAAGAGATAATTCTGAATAATTCTTATACAGTATTGTGTCAGCGAGTTATTAAAACTCCCTGCCTAGGTGAAGGATGCCTCTTTAGATTGAAATCACATTGCACTACATGGTCTTTCCTTTTTGAAGCTCTCTGTGTCATACATTGAGATTTATATACTAGGTAAATGCACTTGTGTGGTTTTCTTCTTTCTTTTCTTTTGTATTTTTATTTCTTTTTAAATGATATATAATTTTTCATTTTGTTTTTGTTTTTTTGCTTTGTCAGTATAGGCTTAGCACAGGTGTGAGATTTTGGATGTCTGAGGACAATTACACTGAATGGTTAAATGTGTATGTCTTTGTGCGTTTGTGTTTTTGTGATTATTTTAAAGTTTCATATTATGTTGCAATGTCAATCTAATATCTGTTTATTGTTTACATTCTTTATTTTCTATTCATAACTAAGATATATTTTGGTTTATTTAACTCTGATTTTCAGTGACTTGTAGCTCTTTACGACTAGCTTCCACTTCAGCTATTTCCAGTTTGCTTTGGTGTTTGAATGAGTGACATTAGCTTTATATTTTTGCTTTGAACACCAAAAACAGTAGATGACATGCTTCATTTTTCACATGGATGTGGGAAACTTTCAAGGTTCACTTCATTGTTTACCAAAAATTAAAAAAAGGAAATTGATGTACTTTCTTCTCAGTACACATTCATCTCACATGAAAAGTAAGAGACGATTTTACCCAAAAAATTGATGTCTTGAACGTGTAACGTCTTGGAGTATACTTATAGCTTATTGGTATTAAACAATTTTAACTTAAACCTGTCTTGTTTGTAGGAGTATAATGTCCATGGGACCATCAACAAGTCTAAGATGAGAAGATTGCTCATTCTGAATGATCTTCTCATGTGCACCAGTATAGAGAGAAAGTAAGTAGTACACTCTGATGTAGTATCACATATGGTGAATATTACTTCTTTTTGCTAGTCTTAAGGTTGCTATTAATACAGTTAATTCATTGAATCTGTACTGTAATTTGTAACATAGGTTTTTGATAAGAAAAGACATGGTTACAAAGTACATGCACAAAGGAGGCTATAGCCAGTCTCAAATATAGTATTATTTTTCCCCATAGAGGAGGTGGCTAAAGCCATTTTAAATCAGAAATCCAATTTTGTTTCTTCACAGTTTTCAACCTTATCAAGCAGCCTTCAGACCCCAGATGATAAAACAACTGAGGGCCATTTGTCCTACCTTCTTTCTTACAACTCTTAACCATGTGTGTGTTTCAGAGAGTCCGAGAGTGGCAGTCTGATAGAGAAACACCGTCTGAAGTGGTACGTCCCTATCAATGAAGTGGAGCTCGTTGACACAGCCATTACGCCTAACATGCAGGTGACAGTGAAGTCGGAGCCTGGGAGGACCACAATCTCTTCACTGAAGCAGGGGACTGTGAAAGGTATGGTGTATGATTTACAGACCTGGGGGGTGGGTGGGGTGGGGGGGGGGTACTTTTTCTGGAAAAGAGGGGCTTTTTTTACCCCCTTAGTTGATCCAACTTGATGTGTGGGATAGAATGTGGGTTTTTTTTTTTTTTTTTCGAAAAAAAAGGGGGCCTCTCCTCCCTCCTTTCCCTCCCCCATGCCTTAGACATAATGCAGCAGTGATACATTGATCTTCAACAGGGAAGTGAGTGACAGTGGGTCTCATTATGTTGTAGTGATTCATGTGGATTGTAATTGAAAAAGTTCCCGATAAAAATTTTGTTAAATAGGTCATATAACATTGTATTCAGATTTTATGATAATTTTTTTTTACTAATTTGTAGATTACTCCTCCGAGGGAGCAATGCAACTCCGTAGAGAACTAGACAACATGCTGCATGACTTCGCTGTGGTCGGTCAGGTGACAAACCTCATCTCTTCCCTGAGGTATCAGTACGAGGTAAGAGATGTATGCTTACCAAGAGGAGGAGTGTTTTTCTTAATTATTATTTTATTTTATTTTATATTTGGAACTATGTGCCATAACAACAGATTTGGTGGAGATTGTCAGAAATATTGAATTAAAAGCAATTCTCACCTCTAGTCAGAGTCAGCAAATATGATACCAGCACCCCTCATGTTCATATGCTCAATTTTCCACAAATTCAGCAAACTTCTTTTCCTTCCAGCTCTGTGTAGGTCTTTTTTTTGTTGCTGGTTGTAAAATGAAAATTACCAGTATTTTATTTTTCAATTTCTAGCTTCTTTCGGAAGAAACCATGGATAGTCTGAAGCGCGAACTTCTTAGAAAAATCCAAGCCAAAGATGAACAGCTCCGAATGTATGACAGTTATACAATTCAGATCACGTTTCCAGAAAAGTGAGTTAAACTTTATACAAATATAAAAATTAATAGTGTGTTAAACTTTAAATTATGAGCACAATATAAGATGTTAGTTGAAAGTCATCCAGATTTGAAATTATTAACATTTCATGTTTTTGTAAAGTGGTAGAAGCTATCCCTCTTTAGATAACATAATTATGTAAAACTCTATAATTCTGTCAAAATCTTTCTATATCTGATGTAGCACATTTTGAACATTACAAAATTATTTACCAATAATGATAGTAATTAATATTTGTAGACATGCTAATCTTAGAGTCCTTATGCATTATTAAGCATTATTAGAGTAAGCCTACATATAGTTATGTAGTGACCTGTGCTGACATCTATCGTTCATTTTACTATCACTATTAGTGCTTCCTGCAGGTTTTTTCTGACCTAGATTTGCCACAGGTCAGGTCCTCAGTTGTGTTGGTAATTTTAAAGCAGTGATTTTCCATGCAGTTTGTCTTAATAAGGCTGGTTTTATACAGTAAAATACAGCAGGATGCACACTTGAAACCAGATTATTCTCCTGAGATCAGATTCACAAAAAGGCATTATTCTGAAAATTTGATTTGGACTTTTATACAAAAAATGTAGACAGATCTTCTTTGGCCTAAGATAAATTAGTTGTAGTCTACTAAAATGAAAATTGTGCCTGTTTTTTAAGAAGGAAATAGCAGACTTAGACCAGTTGTCTCTTTATTTGAGAAAGCTATTAGAGATGCATCTTGAATAAAAGTTGATCAGTTGTTTGGTCCTAAATTTTAAACCAACTTATTTTGGTAGACCGGTTTGCAGCCTGCACTTGTAAAAGTCATACTGCAACATAATCATCTGCAAATTTCCTAGAAAAAAAATCTGACCTTTGCTTCTCTGTCTTCTGCCTCTTTGTGTCCAGTCATGTGCGGAATGCTATAGCCGAGTCCACTGCCCACTGGTCAGCTGCACTGAAAGACGACAAGAAAACCACAAAAAATAAATACACCATTAACAGGTGATAATTGTGAGGTCACTGCAGCAGTAACAAGGTGATGGGAAGTTGTACTGTTACTATTACTACTGTAGCATGTTGGGTTTATTATTAGTTATTAACAGTAGTTATGAGTGACAGGCTCTTGGAGTGAGAGTAGGCTGTCACAGGGGTGGGGTGTCACAGGAGGGTGGGGTATCACAGGAGGGTGGGGCGTCAAAGGAGGGTGGGGTGTCACAGGGGTGGGGTGTCACAAAAGGGTGGAGTGTTGTAGGGTGGGGTGTCACAGAAAAGAAACATGTACCATGGAATTTGCCGTAAAATGTATCGTGAAGTGCACCATGAATCTTAGTCATGGAATGAGTCATACGTGACTTTTGTGATGTCACCATGGCAAGTGATGTGCTTCAGGAAGAGGAGTTTCAGAGCTGAAGTACTGCCTAGGTTTGGAGAGGTGTTCTGTTTTGAATTGACAATTTTATTCAGGTATTATAATAAAAAGGAAATTGATTTACTAAAGAGGAGGTTACTTATTGGATGGTTTTACAGGACTGTTATTGGATGATTAACTTACTGCTGCAGTGACCTTGACCTCTGACCTTTAACCTCAATAATGTAACCCCCTTAGGTTAATGGTTTTAGTTTGCTTTAGAGTAGTTATGTTTGCATGCATTATATTGATATGCATGTTATATTGTTTGCAATAATGAAAACTTGATGTTATCTATCCCTTGGGCCATCTATTTCATATTAGTGAAAGAAAACATTTATTTATTTATTTATTTATTTATTTATTTATTTATTTATTTGAAAAATAAATTTGACTTTAAGGAGGTCATTGGTTGTGGGCATGTGACACATTCCAAATGTTTTGGAGACACGTCTCTTATGTGTCACAGTTTCTGTTCCTGCAGATTCCTTTCTTATTCTTTTACTAATCAGATGTACAAAAGGTCATTAAAAATTATTTAAGTTGAGAGTTTAATTTTATTGTAAATAGCATGCATTTGTTTCTGTTTGATACCACATGTTATGGTTTGTTGACAATATATTGTAAATAGCATGCATTTGAAAACCATTTTTGATGCCTTTGTGTTGACAATATCATTTATAGCTACATGCTTGAACTGTTGTTGTTTTTAATTTTGTGCTTGATCTTATACAAGATTTCATGATCTCTTAGAAGTGGATTTATTTTGTTTAAACTTTTAATGACAAAATATTGAATTTCATAAAGTAATCCTGGACCAAATATTGTACTGCTAGAATAATTAGAAAATTTAGTTTGTGTACTTAAAAAAATTGATGACCTATGTCTATTTGTCATTGATGAATTTTGATGTCCTGAATGTTGACTCATTTAATACATCATTGGAGTATATGGTTTATAATTTATAATGCTCTCATTTGCATGAGTATATTGCATGCCTTTGTACAGTATTATATGGTAAATCAGTGATTGTGACAGTGAACACAATCTGGTCTCAACCCATCTCTCCTAACACAATCTTAGTTCTGATGTGTATAACTTCTTGCTCTGTCTTTTTTAAATATAGAATGATGTGTTGTTATTAAAGATACAGAGGTAAATTAAATGCTTTTTGCAGGCATATGATAGATAACTTGCATTCTTTAAGTCATATTGTTAAAATAATTTATATTCTGTTGTTTCTTACAATAATTTGTCTATCTATACTATTTTGCGTAAGATGATACCAAAATTTCAGCATTACTCCTCTGTAGATACTGCAGGATTCTAGAAAGAGTAGCTCAATCTAAGAAAGTCTACGTTTAATGTTGTGCAAGGAATGTCATCAATCAACTGACCAGAAAGGACACAATAATCCTTTGCAAAACTTTATTTCTATAAATACCTATTATCCATTCCTGCCCATTCTAGGACGGGCCGTGTGAAGTACACGTACCAGGTGAGATCCCCAGAGGAGAAGCAGTCCTGGGAACTGGACTTTAAGATGACCCAGTTAGCCATGGGTAAGCCTTGGTGCCCAACTCATACATTGACCATTAATATTCCACTGTCAGAGGTCAAAGTCGGAGGCTTCTGCTTTGCTGAATTGTTTATTATTATTATTATTATTATTATTTTTATTATTATTATTATTATTGAGTTTGGAATGATTTTGACCCTGTAAGAATTAAATGTTAAACTACATCCCAAACCAGCACATTCCTTGTCTTACTAAACACAATGCATCAGTCTTCTCTAACGCAATCTATTGTATTTCTTGCACTGCATCATTTCCTTGCAGATCCCAATAACAACCCAGCCTGGACCTTCCCTGAACATGTAGAGAGGGAGAAGGGACTCCTGAAGATGCCTCTCTTCATCAGAGCTCTGCCCATAGACATCACCAAACAGTATACAAAGGTCTGTTGAAATTTAGGACTTTATAGTCTTATTTAATAAAGGAGTTGATTCTTAATGAGTGTTTTAAAACTAGGTTTTATGCAATTTTTGTGCCTTCCAAAGATTTCTATCAGATTAATGAACGAGTGTTTGGATAATGTATAATTATAAAATATATATGCATTTTATCTTCTTTCTGCATTTGCTTATAAGTATCAACAAAATTAATGGACTCCATTGGAAAAAAATCATATTTTTATGATTAGGTACTTTGTACAATATTGAATAGAATAACAAACAAATAGTAAAGTATTTAAATGTTAATGTCTGGACTGAGGAGTGATTGTGTTAGTTGTGCTATGTGTTCCAGGTGGATTGTGCTGTCCCAGTGTTCCTCCAGTCCAGTGATAACAGTGGACTGGGAATACAGCACCTCTGGGCCTGTAGTAGTAATGAAGATAGGGGGCAGGTCAGTCTCAAGACGGTCTCATTAAAATCTAAACATTTACCATGAAGGTGTGCCAGTATTCATGTAGTGTTAAGGAGCATGGTTAGGTACTACTCAAGGCTTGTGGTATTAAGGTAACACCATGTTGGTGACAAATGTGTTTCCATTGCCATTGTATGGCCATTGCAAAAATATTGAAGAAGAAAAAGGGTTAATGGTTCTTTTGAAGTTTATACTGTACATGCTCAGAGAAATTATTGCATCACTTATTTTTCTTAAGAGCCATAAATATAGGAAGTGATATGCCTTTATATCAACTTATTATGATTACGTCTTATATATGATTCTGAGTCCAAACATACCTGGTGTTTAACATTAATTCAACATCCATAGGTATTTCTCATTTTAGGTGACCATCATATCCCTCCACACCAGCAAACCAAGGGTGATCGAATCCTTCATGGCATGTGAGGCAAAGATAGTCTGTGTGGAGTTCGTCCCTGGTCCCAATTTATTTCAGGGGGAAGATGCCAGTGACACTGTGTGTGCAGGAGACACAGTCTGGATGGGGACTGACAGTAACAGGTGTGTTAGATTTGACAGAAGATTGTATTAGGTGTGACCAGTAATTGTGTTAGGTGTGACAGGAGATTGTGTTTGCTGTACCAGTCATTGTAGTTGAATATAATACGCTGTTAGATCTGAGTGTGAGATGCTATTGTGTAAATTGTGACTGAAATTGAAATGTGATAGGCACATGTTTTTTTACTTAGTTTTTTTTTTGTCCTGTATAATATATTTTGTTCTCATACCAATTATATAAATAAATGATGAAGCCTGTTTTCTTCTCCTTGCAGAATTGGGGTATATTCAGTGAGGGAACAAGAGAGAAAAGATGCCATTTTTACAATAGATATCCCAAACCCAATAAGGACAATGAAGTACATGAAAGACAAAGTATTTGTTGCCATGGAGAATGGTGCTATCATAATATTCAGCAGGGGAAAGGGTAAGGCTTGCCGTAAGTTTGTCCAGAGCTCCAGCCTTCTATTCTCTTTCAAAAGCAAAATTGTTTATCCAGTTCTAAAGAGAAGAAAAGGCACTTTGAAACTGATAAGATAAGGAATTTTTGAACTACGTCATAAAGCAATGCTTGCTTTCTTCAAAATTTTGATTTAGTTTAAGTTTTCCAGCTTTTTAATGGTAAAAACAGTTCAAATCATGGTAAACCGTTTAGTTATATTTCTTATGATATATTACAGAACTGTTTGATTTATTATTGACTGTATATTGCAGATGATGAGTGGAAGATCAATGAGTCTCACACTTCCAAACTTGGAGAGCAGCCTGTCTTGTGTCTTCTGGAAGTGGAGGATAAGATGTGGTGCGCCTGTGGGAATAAGATTAATATCATCAACCCAAAAACAGAACTGAAAGAGGTAAAATTGTATGCAACAGAAATTGAAATGTTTAATTATTGCTAAACCAGTTAAAATGACTGAACAAATTATGGAGTTGTCCATTTGAATGTAGGTGATCAATGATTTCAATTTAACAACTTAAATTTAAACAGTAAATATTCGGCAGTGGGGATAGAACTTTCTCAGTATCAATCCTGACAGCAGCAAAATAGTTTCATTTCATTGATGAAAATTTCAGACCATAGTCATACTAGACAAGCTTTTACACAAGAAGGTACTGTAACAAATGTCCCCCCCCCTTCCCCCACCCACCCTCTCCCACACTCTCCCCAGCTTACTTTTTGGTCATCCAATTGCAGATTAGAAGCAATTTGCTAGTATCCAAAATGATGGCATGACCTTATGGAATATTAGTTTTATGATCCATTTGATTTTGAAAAAAAGTTATGTTTCAAAGAAGGAGGAGAGGCAGNCCCCCCCCCTCCCCCACCCCACCCTCTCCCACACTCTCCCCAGCTTACTTTTTGGTCATCCAATTGCAGATTAGAAGCAATTTGCTAGTATCCAAAATGATGGCATGACCTTATGGAATATTAGTTTTATGATCCATTTGATTTTGAAAAAAAGTTATGTTTCAAAGAAGGAGGAGAGGCAGTTTATTTGAATGCTGCCAGAAAAGCATGTTTTTGAATAATTGATTGTTCCCAGTCTTCTTTAACACAAGGCTTTGTGTTTGCATCAACCATGCAGAGTCATATTTTCTTTCATCAAAATGGACCAGAAACCTCATATTAACCATCTTATTTCTTAAAAGAGATGAAAAACAATACAGTACATTGGAGTGAGGCATGATTTCTGTCTGAGAACATGAATTGATTACTTTATATAATGTGATTTGTGATTATGATTTATTATGGTACTAGTGTATTTTACTATGTAAATCATAAAACATTTTATATAGATATATACATAAATGTGCATTAACAAATGTTTTCAAGTTTCTGCTCTCCTTCATGTAATACGTCTCACCTATATTTTCTGTATGTGGCATTAAAATCATTCACAGCAGTATATATATTTCAGAATTAATACATGAAAAAAAAAAGAATAAATGTAGCAGTCTGTGCTGTCCTAAAATACATATTAGATTTGCCTGTGATGTAACTTTTGAAATCATTCAACTTGTAGAAAACTTTGACAGTAGAGAAGAGTGGTTGTATACAGTGTATGGTGCAGTCTGGCTGTGGGTTCTGGATCTCATTTAAAGAAGAATCCCTGATCCGCCTCTACCATGTGGAGACTTTTCAACATCTGCAGGACATTAACATAGCGTCGGCCGTCACCAGGGCACTGAAACGTAAGTAAACATGGCTGCATCTGCCTCCATTTTAACTGAAAACATTTTAAGGCTGACATCTTAAGGAATAGTTGTAATAAAATTAAAGCTTCCTTGTCATTCTGTCAAACATATGATGGGTCACCATGCTAGATGAGACCTATAGCCCAGGGTTCAAATGAACTGCCCTTTTGCCCCAGAAAGGTCAATACAGAATAAAGCACCACCATTGTAATATTCATATTTCCAGATAAAGCCAGAAAACCTGGTACAGATTTCTCACGCGGTATAGCCATCACCTGTCTCATGGCCAGTAGAGGTATCCTGTGGATTGGTACCAACAAAGGTATAACCCTGTCCCTCCCCCTTCCCAGGTTGGAGGGTGTACCCCTCATCAGTCGAGGACCCAGCGTGTCATGCCACACCCATATCGGTCCTGTCAAATTTTTGGTGGGTATTTGCCCCGAGGTCATCATTGACCCTGTCCCCGGTCGGGCTGAGAGTTTCCAGGAAGATGCGAATGGTGAAAATGTTGATGTGAAGGATACGGACAGACTGGAGCTGCCTTGTTCAGCTAGCGATGCTTCAGCAACTTCGCCTTTGTCGTCGCCCTCGCCCAAAGCTACATCTCCCAAATGTCCACCAGAGAGTACGTCTGGTTCTGGAAGTCAGACCATGCCAGCAGTGGTTTCCCCGAAGTCAAAGCGGAAGAGCAAGGGAGACATCAGGCGAATATCCCTTTCCCATGTCAGTGAGAAGACTGAGAGAACATCTGACAGGGAGGTTATTCGTAGCTACAGCATTGAGCATAGTTTTAAACCACTTAAAGCTAATGCTAAGTCCAAATGGAAGTCCACCCCAATCGGATTGGATGCCATTGACAAGGTGGAGTATGATGATGATATTTCGGTGTTGTATGGAAGCTTGCTGAAAGGCACTGGGACGGAAGATTATGAAGACGTCTTGGTGCAGACTTCTGGAGAACATGGGTACATGACTCTACAGGCAACGGGAGCAGACCTCCTCCGTTATCGAAAAACTAAAACTGCTTCGATAATGTTTCCCAAACGTCGGGTAAAAAGTATGGCGTCCCCTGCTGTTGGGGAAACAGCCCATACCTTCAGTTTCGATTCAGCTGTGAAGTTGCGCAGCTACAACAGAACATCTTCCGAACTGACAAGTAGTTTCGAGTCTGTAGATGAAACAGAAGAGGACATTGCCACCCCTGCTAGTGATGATGTGGATGAAAGTGATGCGGCAAAGTCCTCAGACAGAAAGTTGCATAATTTGCACTGTAAATCTGTGATCGTTGTAAGTGGAGGAGATGGGTATTTAAATTGGAACATTGCCACTCCAAGGGACAAGAAACAGGAGGACGCGAGGCTTATTTTATGGCAGTGCAAGGTGGCTTAATTGGTCTCCACCAAGTAACTCATTTTATCTGAACATCAATATTTTCATTCCAGTACAATGTATGTCTTTTCTATAGGAGGCTTAGGTTTAGGCTTCTCTGGCAGACTAGAGTACACAGTTATTGGTGATGTAATTACTCTGAGTGATTGCAATCGGCATTCCTAGAAGAATGTATCTTTACATTCTATTTATGGAGGCAAATAAAAACTAAGGGAAGTGAAATAGAAGAATAAGGATGGGACCAAGAGGACAAGTGATACTTTTAAGCTTAAAAGCGCCACCTATAATATTATAGGTCAAGCAGCATTCTCTGTTAATGTGCAATGGACCTTAGATTTTATACCAAGTGGAAACGGCAAAATGGAAATTTTTGTTTGATTCTGTTAATTGAAATAGGAACAGTAAGTGATTTAGATTCCCGTGACTTAACATTCTTTAGCAGAGAAGGCTTAGCTTATACACAATTTTCAACTAACCCAATTTTGAACTACAGTGGAAAAGTTTGTGAATAGCTTTTAGCACTGAAATACTTAGAATGGTAAGTAAAAATTATCTTAACGTTTCCAATATTTTTGCAGTGTTATTCCATTTTTGTTCTCACCCATGACTTACACTTCTAATAGGATAAAAATGTTTACAATGTGATGATAAACAAGGTAGAAATAGGGTGCAAACTGTGATACATTTTTATGTTAAAGTTGTGGAAAACTCCTAATTGCCATATTAAGTTTGTGTAAAATTGCACACATATGACTTGCTGATGTACAATTTACAGTGGAACAAGTTTTTAATGTAAAATTTATATTGAAAAATAGGTAAACTCTAAAAATTATTAAATATAGTTGTGAAAAAACAGCAAAGATACAGCAAAGAATAAATTAACAGGCGCTCAGCTGTAATTGGATCAAATTATCTTTAGCACAAGGCCTGTATGATTGTTAAAAAAAGAACATCAAATTAAGGCAGAAATATTTGTATGATAACTTTATTTGATAAATAACAGGTATTGTATAAAGTACACTTGAAATATTCCATATTGTGATATCTTATACAGTGAATAACAGGTCGGTGCGTGTTATATAAAATGATGACTATTTTATACATCATGGTACAGTCTGTACAAATATTCTTGATAATATTAGCCTACATATAAAAGTGTATTGTAAACAGTTTTGAGAATTATCTTGTTGATACTATTTGTAGTTTTGCAGAATTGATAAATATTCAGTGATACTTGTTAAGATGTGCTTAAAGACGGATTTTTATGAATTTGTGGTACAATTATTTTGATTATATTTATTATGATTGATAAAAATATGACGTTTTATGGTGTTTGATTTTTTTTTTATAGAGTCACTGCTTTTACCATTTTTGAAAGCGTGTCAGAATCAGTCTGTATTGTTGTCTAAAATGTTTTAAAAATAGTTCTAAAAAGACATTTTTATTCTTATTTCTGATTGCTGATTAAAACGAAATATTTTGATCAATGGGTGATAAAAAATATATGAAGTTTTTGTATATGCCAATATTTCCTCCTTTTGATTTTTGTATAAAACTGCTTAAATAAATATTTACTGATGTATGCCTTGCCTATAAATCTACTGCAGTGGATATACATATACTACCTGTACCTGTAGTTGTGTAATATAAATATATAAAACGATACAAGTGAATGGAATTGTGTACATGGCGTGGCTTTCAATTATTGTGAATATTTTCTGGCTATATGCTGTTTATGTAGATTGTTCATTTTGATGAGGAATAATAATGCACATCCTTAAATTGCCTTTGTGTGATTTTTTTTACTGTATTTAAAGCATTACCGTTCCAGGGACATATTATGAGAGATTTACCGTTTTGCAAAAAGATTTCAGCAAGACGAAACCTTACCTGAGACTGCGACTGACGTGGAAGTATTTTGACATGGGTGGTGACAATTTTGACTAACCAAAAATAAGTTTTAGCCTATTTGTTGCTATAGATACATATGTAAGTTGCATCTTCTCTGAACAGAGAATCATATCGTATACATAGACCAAATCCCAAATACGTCGTGGCTCAGGTAGCTGTGGTAGCTGTGATTGCTATGGATGAGCAAGTTGTACAAATACAACTTCTTCTCAGCAAACACATGACGTTATTTTATAACGTTACCATAACGTTAATTTTACAAAAAAAAAAAAAAAAAAAAAACGTTATGACCACGTTATGGTAACGTTATAAAACGTTCTGTGTTTGCCAGGTTGAGCCGAGGGTTGCATACTCGGGTTGTCATGATTGCCGTCTTCGGTATTAACAAATTATTCTTGTACGTGGAAATAGTGATTTATTGGTAAATTTAATTTCTTTAATATTGTGTCATAATTGACCATATGGTGACTTATAAAAGTAAAACAAACTTATTCACTTTTTATACGAATTAAAACATGACTTTTAAACGGACAACGTGATGACCAAACTAATTAGGAAAATCATTTATTCATAAAACACAATAATAATTATTACTTTCATTTGCAACCAAAAAGCCATTCTTTGAGAATGCGCTAAGAAAGCTCACGTACTGGTAGTGTATGCATTACTAGTACTTATATTTTACATAAAACAATATTGAAACAAACACATGAAAACTTTATGGTGTTAAGCATATTCTCCTTAAAAGTATTTACAAGATAATTTACTTAGATTACCCTCTAGAATTTGGAACTTAAAAAAAAAATAATGTGCATCCATTTTATAATGCCAGAGGTATGTTTTAGTAATGCCCATCACATTAATACCTGTACACTTAGTATGGGGTAGAATTATTCACCGGTAATTTATCTTCACAAAGTGATCATTTCCTGTAACTTTATGGTAGACGGCTCTATATATTCTTTAATTCAATAAATTAATGGATCAGCAACAATATATCATCGATTCAAACTAAGCCCATTTTTGAGTTGGGATGCTTCATGTATGTAGCAATTCAACAAAGACAAAAACAAACCGATAAACTCCTGGAGGAGGTAGCAAAGAAATTGATCGTTTGTCGCATAGAGCAAATTCTCCTTAACTAATTTACGTTCTACATTGGTTGAGATTCCACTGCAGAATTTGGCATAACTCAATGGGCTCATTCACAATAAGTCTTTAGTATTACACAGATCGATCCAACTATGTGGAGACTTTCGCTGAATGCAACCAGATTGAGAGACTGATACGCCAGTCAATTTTCACCATCGCACCGTCTTCCCCAAATTTACGCCAATGCTTTCTGAAGTTTTTTCCAAAAATATTTATCCTTTCTGTTAAGCTTGGCATAGATTCTCAGCTCTTCCGGTAACTGAAAGTTTGGATCATCGTTCCAGATGAGAGGGATAATTCTGGAGTATTCCTCGTGGCGTCCACTGTGACCGTGACTGTGAACCTTCCTGTCGTCTGCCACTGCTAGGAGGGCCTGTCATGAATATGAACGCTCATGTTTGGAATAATGTTCTATTTTTTTTCTTTCTTTTTTTTTTTTTTTTAAGTGAACCTTTAAAATAAGCCCAATTGTTTTTGTTTCTGAATCAATTACTTTATAGACTACCAGATTAAATGTTCATGTAAGATCACAAGTAAATAAATTTAAGTCCATCGTATTAGAATAACTGTGTTAGAGCAACCAGTACATACCATATGGGTATAGGCCAATTACTGTATTGGATATTTTTCCATGACATTAATTTTAATACAGCATGATGCCAGTTTTGTTTGAAGTATCAAATATTTTGCATTGATAATGCGACTTTTTTTTAAACAGTTTATACATAATGAAATAATTTCATTCATAAACTTTCAAACCGAAGGGAATAAAGCCATCAACGTCATATACGTTTATTTTCTCATTGCTTTTCCTAATGGAAATCAAATGTGCCCTGACACGCTCGTTTCCGGCCATGCGCACATTATGTAGAATTTAATCGGATTAACATAATACACACTTACTTCATTTAAGTGCATTCTGTTTTCGTCTTCCTTCAGCCCACTACAGAAATCTGCAGTTAACACAAACAGAATTTTTCTGCAGCTCTTCCGGTTATCAGCATACTGAGTGAAAACTGGTTTCCCAACTATAAAGTCACGAAAATCCACCACAGCCTTTGGAAAAAATTACATTGGAACCTTTTTATCCAAACTTATCAGAAAAAAGTAATTTGTTACATTTGCCCTTTCAAAGTAAAGAAGGGAAAAGAGTCATATTTGCAAGTTCAATTTTTGGCACTGCCATTACATTTTTAGTCTCAAACTTGCTTTCTTCCGAAATAAGTGAATGACTGATTGATAGGCCTACTGGTACCTTTAAAAGTTGACAAATAATTACTTTTTTCAGAGAGACCTACTTACTGAAAACCGTAGTTCTTTCTCTAAAATAGGGAGAATTTCGTCGTCGACAACTGTCTTAGCATCGTCTGTCCCAGAATAAATGATCAGAACGTCGTTTTCCATCGGAGGCTTTTTGTAACATCCACCGCAGCACGCTGTGTTGTGGAGAGGAGAAATTTCATACAATATTTGATAAAACATGGTAACCTAACTATTTACCATCATACTAATGACTATTTAACCAAGTTAAACAGGGGTGTTGGACTAACAATCGCTACCAAGAATTAATTCTTAGCATTTTTATCATTGTTACACCCATGCCCTTTCTCTATACTTCCTTCCATTCTTACTTCCCCGTTTCTTGCTTTTTTTAAATTAAATATACATATCTACATTAAACGATGATTTCGAGACCAGCACGTTACCTAGCAAACACACTGCTTTGGACCACGTGATTACCAAGTTGCAATCATGTGGTAGCCACGTGGTCCAAACGTGACGTTTTTGCCGATTATTCAAACGATGTAAATTACCATTCAAAGACTGCGAAACTGGCTCGTCATTGAGACCCAGCCTCACATCTTTTAACTGTCGCAGCTTGACCAGGGCTTCCTCTTGTACAGACAGGCGGTTTGAATGCAGACAAATTGTTCGAAGCTGTCCCATCTTCTGGAATTTCTCGGCAGGGACTTTGCTGATCATGTTCTCAGAAACGCAAATGGTCTCCAATCTTGGGAGATCGCCAAGCTCTTCTGGCAGCGCCTGCAGGCGGCACATTTTGAGGCGAAGGTACTCCAATTTCTGAAACATTTGTATATGCCCCGATATATACATGTACATGTTTATACAGGTGCATGTATGCATGAATTAAAAGTACATCTTGGGGAGAAAGTGGGTTCTCTTTATGCGTGACTGGTAAATGAAATATATAGAATGTATATTTAACAAAAGGTAAAATATATGTACGTAACTGAAACAAAAGTTTTTGATAAAAAACAAACAAACAAACATCCATTCCCTCTGATAATTTCCACATTCAGTCAAGTGGTTCGTGTAAAAATAAACTCTGACCTTCAACTTTTGAACTGCTTTTGGTATGGCGGAAATGGGATTGTGTGAGGCATCAAGAAAAATCAAGTGCTCCAGATCAAATATGCCAATGTTGAGTTCACGAATCTCGTTTGCGTTTAGTACCAGGCTCTCCAGTTTTGTCAACTTCTTAATATTACCTGATGATAAAAAAAAGATAAATGCACAGCTGAAATCGTTTTAAAATAAGGTTTCCCTATGTGGCATGAGTGCTTTTTTTTAATGAGATATTTCCTTAATGGTCTAAAGAAATATCGTCTAACCGAAATTTATGTTCTTAATATAGAAAACTTAATATAGTATATTAAACAATTGTTATAGTAACCTGTAATTCCTTGAGTCTCGAGCCGATTATTCGACATGTCCAGGCTTCGAAGTTCAGTCAACTGGTAAACGACGTCAGGTATTAACCGGAAACAGTTGTTCCCTAGACGCAACAGCTCGAGGTTGCGCAGTTTGGCCAGTTCACGTGGCAAATTTTGAAGTTTGTTGCCCGTCAAATACAAAACTCTGAGTCTCGTGTACAAACCGATAGATGGTGATAAACTCGGAAGGTCGGAGTTCGGAATAGAAAGGCGGAAAACCTCTTCAGGCTCGTGGCCTGTCAGGTGGGCCCCGTTGCTATCTTGGGCGACCATTTTGCAAGGCAACTGTCCACAGAGGTAGCGGTCTTGTTTGTCGCATGTGTCGATGGTGGCGGTTTTGCACGTCTCTGGAAGTGCTAATACGTTGTTCGGATTGCCAATTGACACTGGTTTCGTTTTCTGTTTCTCCTGCAATATAATAAAGGGATTCTGATTTAATACACACTGTCTACCCGTACATCTTGAGTCATTTGGTCCTTTAGGAATTTTTTTTGTAATAGAAACTACAGGTTCGAAATTGAAATATTCGTAACTCGTTTATTACGCCATTGTTACAGAAGAACTGGTTGATCGCATCACTGAAATTCTTTTCTTTTTAGAATACGTTACATAGTAGTCCGAGGATCAAATATGGCGACCCACTACAAAGTTTGCCGTCAAACCCGCTAATAGCCACTGAATAGATATCCCGTGTGAAAGTATTCAAGTGGGACGACCATACTTGACCCTCGGACTAGTTAGTCCCTTTTCTGAATGGGGCCTTAGTTTGACTTGAGCTGAAACTTACCTGTCGCTTTTCACAGGCTTGCTTGCAGACAGCAGAGGGAACTATGCATTCTATGGTATCTGATGGGGTAGAGGGGTCAGCAGGATCATCGTCATGGCAACCAGACTGAGCAAATACTTCGGACGTTTCTGTAGCGTTATCTTGTGTCGAGCGAGTCAAGGGGTCCCACTTGCTATCTAGCTTGTATTCAATGACAAACCTTGCCACGTCTTTTTTTTCTTCGTATCCCCAAGAGTTCACCTGGGCGTACTCAAAATCACGTAAAAGCGCCACGAGTCGTTCCGGGAGATTTCTAGACTCCTCCCAAAGCTCTATATTAGGAGGCGCCCCGTCCATATCGAAGTTTCCACTCAATCTACGAAAGTAGAGATTTGTATGCTATTTTGAATACCCTAAGACTGGGTTCCCATACCTTCATCAATCTAACAGGATCGATCTATCTCCGAAGGTTTTTTTTTTTTTATAAATTGCTTTCAGCTTAAACGGCTTAGATGTCTGGCACGCCTACTGAAGCTGCTAAACGATAGTTAACTACCCCTAGCAGCTTCAGTAGGCGTGACAGACATCTACCAAGTAAGCCGCTTTAATTGATTGCAATTTTGCGAGAATCCCCAAGGAGATAGATTGAGCCACAGCGAGTACGATAGTGTCTGGGTATGGTCTCTAACACTACTGACCGTACATAATTATTGTGGCTACTTGTACCAGTCTAATAACTTGTTGATGCCTGATGTATAGAGATTAAAACAGTGGGTGTAGGCTGAGGGTACAGCGGGTGCGCCCCCCTCTACCCCCCCCCCCCCTCGCAACTTAGTTCACCTGAAATTTAGTACATCACAGCCACTAATTGTTGATAATGATGTGAATAGCTTAAAGCATAACATGCATTAGGCTTACGCATGTGTAATTTAACATACTACATATGTAAACATATATAAATGTATATCCTTATATGTTGTAAATAATGTAGTCTAGCGAGCCTGCAAATGTATTCATATCATTTAGTGCTCAATTTACTTATATATTATATTATATTATATTATATTATATTATATTATATTATATTATATTATATTATATTATATTATATTATATTATATTATATTATATTATATTATATATTTTCATAAACACTACAGACGTAAAGAAAATAAAGGTTGTAGATTTGCTGAGTCATACGAGAAGGGGCTTTTACATACAAGCCAGAATGGATTGTTTACAAATCTCCACCATTTATCTTACGTTACTACTCCCGTGTTAATTGTTTCGTACATGTTTATTTAGTAGTGCAGAAAGATCTCAAGACTATTATGGGAATTTAGTAAAATAAATGTGTTCCAAGTCTCTAGTGAAATGGTTGTAAAACGTAAATACAATGTATGTTCTAAATACAGGTACGAACTTTTCTCACCTGTGAGTCAGTCACATAAAGTCCCCGAATGACGCATGAAAAAGGCCAAGCTGCATAAATTGAGACACCTTGCTGTTGTCTCGTCAGGCATTAGTCACTTTTTGCCATTGATTATTACTTCATCTTCTGTCTACGCATTAAGCATCAAAAATGTTTTTTTTTTTTCATACAGGCCTATGTCGTCTTATATATCATCACTGCTTCTTATGTGAATGTCATCAGTAAAAACAGCACGTTAACGTCAACATCTTGTCAACAAAGGAATTAGCTGAGAATGACCTATTTACCGTTTCCCCAATAAACATATTCTTTGAATGCATAACAATATATGTACAAGCGTACTATAAAAACATTGCATGTCGAGGAGAATTCATTACACTCGTTCCAACTCATCCAATTCCATATGTGAATACTATATTATAACTGCATTAATTCAGGCAAATATTCATTATAAAACAATGAAATGGGCGATATTCTATGGTCCGTTTAAAGACAAAAATATATTAGTTAGCCTACCTTGATAATTAATACCAACTCGCTCTCAGGGTGCGGAAGCTAGTTTACCCCAGTTTTACTGGTCTCATTAGTGCCTCATTAGTGCTAATTTTATAGACGTTTGGAAGTGCTAGCTTTTTATAACCTTCGATGAGAAAAGGGAATTTTGGATGACTCGAAAATGTTTTCTTTTACCGTGAATTTGAATGAGAACACGTAGAACTGATATTACGCGTACCTTATTATTGAGTCACTCTACTAGATAAACTAAGAAGGTGTAATTTTTGTGACAAGTCAATTGTTATCTGTCCAAAATTTACTGTTTCCCTGCAAAATCAGGCTATGCACATAAAATGGTTGATGAATAGATAGAAAACGAATTATGATTGATGAAAATGGTTGATGTTCAAACAGAAATAGCTGATGTACTCAGTAGATAAGCCCTGTTGGAGAAGTGTAGTGTAGGTTGCCCTGCTTTGATCGTGCATCGGTGAAAAGGAGAAATTATTTAAGTGTTTTCACCGAGTTAAGACACCTTAGTCTGAAGCATGCGTTTGTTTCGTGAAGTGCTAGGGTTTATTGATGACAACAAAATTACCTGTCACTGATGTTTGCACAGTCTCGTGCACAGTTCAATATTTACAGGTAATTATATTGATTCATACATATTTATATTAAGTAAAAACACCGTAGTTTGAAGCATGCGTGTGTCTCGTGAAGTGCTTTAGGGTATATTGATGACAACAAAATTACCTGTCACTGTTTACACAATACTCACGCGCGTAGTTCAATATTTTCAGGTAATGATATTGATTCAAAGATATTTATATTAAGTAAAAACACCATAGTTTGAAGCATGCGTTTGTCTTAAGTGAAGTGCTAGGGTAAATTGATGACAACAAAATAACCTGTCACTGATGATTGCACAGTCACGTGCACAGTTCAATATTTACAGGTAATTATATCGATTCATAGATATTTATATTAAGACGCCATAGTTTGAAGTATGCATGTGTCTCGTGAAGTGAACTGATGACAACAAAATTACCTGTCGTTGTTTGAACACAAGTCACGCCCGCAGTTCAATAATTTCAGGTAATTGTATTGATTCACATATATTTATAAACCTAATTGTTATGATCTATATATATTTATAAAGTTTTTTTAGATAATAAATGACAGGTGATAGTTCAAGGGGAGAGACGGATGACAGAGTATTCTCTTCACCTAGAGGTGCTCAAGGGTCCATCAAACGAAGGTAATCTAAGGGTGCTTTCCCAGAGATTTAGATCGATCTAAAGATTAAGATTTAGATCGACCTAACTCCCTGGGGGTTCACGCTAAATTGCAGTCATCCGAGCGGGCACCATAGTTAATTACCCCCTTACAGCTTTTAGTAGGCGGGACAGACGCTTAAGCCGGTCAAGCTGACAGTAATCTAGTAAGACTCCCCACAGGGATAGATCGATCTAAATATCTATGGAAATGGGGCGTAAGCCTTCCATGTTCCTCAAATCAGGAAGTTCAATTAATTTCCTGAAACGGCAGTTCCAGTGAAAGGACGCGACGTGGCGTTTTGAAAAAATAAATAAATAAAATAAAAAATAGAAATAAAAATGCATTAAAATAACAATTTTTAAAAAAATAATATAAAGAATTATATAAACAATTGTAATAAAAAAAATAAATAGAAATTATTTAAAAAAGAAAAAGCCACCTGAAACTGGAGAATAGTTGCAAGCAGTATCTAAAACCATTATTGTTATTGTCAGAGGCAATTTGCTTGAAATCAATTTGCAATTTGCTTGAAATCAAGCAATTATAGGAACTATCATGTTGTAAATGCCGTTCCTTGGATTTCATGTAGTCGCTTAATCTTTAATCTTAGATGGAAAGGACTATACGCACCTTTTTTAAAATTCCATAGTCCATCTTCTTTTTTCTATCGACAGAAAATCAGTTTTATCAAAGGCAAAGTCCAGTTGAAGTAAACAAAGGCATTGACTAAAATATCCTCTGAATAAAGCTGTCGACACTGCCAGAATCTGTGGGAGGTGGGGTTTACTATTTAGCGATAATGGTGAAACAATGGGCCGGACAAATTGTTTTATAAAATAGTACAAAAAGTGACACGCAACTCATGATAGATTCATTCTCTTGTATATTACACTTAAATTCTACAGAACTTAAGAGAAAACAACCAGGAAAATATCCATGAATATATTCTGTCAGCTTTTATTCCTTAATTTTTTGTGTGTTTGTAAAACGTCAAAGTAATTAAATGTGGCTTATTCTTTGTAAAAACCTCTTTTGTAAATATTTAATAAAATGAATCAATATTTTTGTAATGATCCAATATTTTGTACCCTCAATGGCATATTAGATTTTCTTGCGTATATAAGGTGTTTTATTTTAATAACTAGTAACTGCACATACTTGCTTTTGGAGAAAAATATCTGATGAGTGGTCAGTTATATCACTAGTATTACAGTAATCAATGCTATCACTAGTATCACTGACTCACTATGACTTACACTCAAAAAATACATAAAATAATAATAAATAAATACAATAATAAATAAAACTTTAAAACGACACTATCATAAAATGACACTATCACTACTATCAATGGTATTACTGAACAAACAAAAAGTTTTAAATCAACTAATTGGTATCAAAATTCACATGATCTTGAAAAAATAAAACGTAATGCATTTGTCTTTATATACACTATGTACAATATATTGCACTCGTAAAAAGATAACATTACCAGGATAACTTATTATCCAGAGCAGAGAAAATTAATATTCTGTACAATATTCTGTACAATCTCTGTATCTTAAAGCTATACAGGGACAACTCCTGGGAACACTTTAGTATCAGTTTATCCTTCTCTCTAAAATATCCACGTGACCTGAATACATTGAATGCATAGAAACAATATCAATGGATGCTAAGTAACGATCAACATCCACCGCGAGATCTTCTAACTGTAAGGCACAAGAACTTCTCTTGCAATAAAGAGGAACAAATAAATAAATAAACAAACAAATAAATAAATAAACATTCAGACCCGGCATCCCCTCACTGCACCATGTAAACTGCTTTCACACAGAAAGTCTCTTCATTTTTATCGTCATCGTCGTTAATAAAAATCAGAATCTCCGTCATTCCTGGGGTCTGAGCTGGAGCGAATCTGAGGCCGATTGTATGCGGCTCTCCTCCTCCGATCTCCAACCTAGTGTCCTTAAACTGGAGCAAGTCACTGCGATTGGTCCTCAGATGAAACACCTTCTTGTGCGGGTAAGGATTTGTGTACGAGATTCTCTTGTTGCAGCCTTTACCGCCACCTACAGGCAGTTTTAACTCGAAAGCCTTTGATACAACTGGTGATCTGCATGATAAGTTGACCAGCCAAGTCCTGACTAACTGATGGAATTCAATGTCTACGACATTTATGTACATGAATTTAGAGCCGACGTTTACAGCACGTACGCCAACGTGGAGTTCGTGGACAGCGTTTGCAGCCAGCATGAAGGGGTCTTTGGGTTCCAGGGACATCTCGTATGGATGTGAGGAGAAACATTTCACCAGACGGGACGCCTGTGTACCCCTGGAAGAAAACACAAATATAAATAAAACATACTAGAGGATCTGAAGGCTATTACCACCTCCTGGGTATGTACCACCAGCTGGATTTGTCACATAAAAAGTATCATTATAACCTGCACACATATAATCTCTAGAAAGAGCTATAAAATTATTATATTTCATTAATTAATTATTTTTCATACCTGGTTATGTTCTATCACACTTTTTACAGATTATTATTATTATAGTTATTATTATTATAATTATTATCTAGATATGCAGCACTAGTATGGAAGAAGGTGTCTTTTGATAAATAGGTCAACTTTCATACTGGTTTGTCCTTCAATACACGTAGCGTCCACCCTTTGTAGAAAGAAGATAACTACCTACCTGAGAATGAGGGAGAATCTACTGGTTTGTCCTTCAACACACGTAGCATCCACCCTCTGTAGAGAGTGGACAAAGAACTGCCAGATCTGCAGAGGTTTGGACAGGAAAGGATCACTGTAGATGGCCAGGAAAAACTTCTTTACTTGAGGAGACGCACCACAGGCCACCTGTAATATATGGTTGCCATGACAATACTTTTAGTTTTATTTACACCTGACACCCACTGTTCCTTTAAAGGCTGCCTAATCTCTTAATTTTTACTACTGGATCAAATTCAACTTTTATCTAAGTTTCAACACCAAGTAAATTTTTAACTTAAATTTAAAACGTGAGCATCTGAAAAAGATTCTTTTCAATATTCTTTTCATAAAAAGCAAATAATAACATGAATGTTAATGTAAACCCAAGTATAAATCATCCTGACTAGTACCTTGATGAAGACATCCTGTGGTTCTCCAGTCTGAACAGGTCTTGTCTCACATATCACATTGTTATCACTACAGCGTACAAACAGCTGCTGTAACCCAGCGCCACCTATTGGAGCACCTGTGAAGACATATATCACATTTATGCCTTTTAATGCAATTTTCATTTTTTCTTTATTTATTACAGCTTTAAATTCTTCACATAATTCACAATTGTCTAAGCTAACATTCATTTCCAAATAACGTTTGTCATTTGTTATCTTTCTTACTGACGTAAAAAAAGATCATCATCATCTCCGTAGCGAAGTTTTCTACACCTACCTGGTAACATCTGGAAGGGAGGTAGTCTGATGGATTTCTTCAGGAAGGACTGTTCTGGGTGGTGGAACCTGAAGGTCTGGTCTACGACGTGTGGGATGGGGTCTACATTGAGGGCCAGGATGGAGATGGGGCGGTTGTCCTCAGTCTTGAAGTACACCTGAGGGATGGAAGGACAGAGTCAGGAGGACATCAAATATAACATATTATATATCAATATCATGACATAAATGGTTCCATATCTGATGAGATTTCATAACCTAGCCTACATGAATGTTTCCTCCATGTTTATGTTAACTCAAGACTACAAAAAAAAACTTAATCAGATATGTCGTTGACATTTTATTTCGGTGGGTGACATGAGAGAAAGATGCTTTCATTTTAAAGTGCACATGAGACAAAAATCCAGAATAAGGAGAGAGAGAGAGAGACAGGTTTCCCTATGTTCTTCACAGACTTAAATTTATTGTACTACCAACCTTGACCACCTTGGTGGCCAGAGCATCCTCTTGTCTGCTGGACTGCTGGAACTGGGCATGGAATGGATTGATGGGGCCCTGGAACATGGTTGAATACCTTTAACAGTGAAAACAATTCAGATGCCACAATACACTTGTACTTTTGAAATTAATTGGATATTCAGGTATGAAATTTCAGACAAAAAAAAAAAAAAAATGCACAAGCAAAAATTCCCTCTAAATAACATGCATGTTTTTGAACCCACAAGTAAAATATAACCATGCCTAAAGCCTGTTGCACTGAAAGACCACGAGTCAATTGCCACAATTACCTGTGGTTGCACAGAGTGGTCCGCCCTGTAGGAGAGGTACTTGAAGGGGATATTCAGGGTCTCTTTGGGTCTCAGAAACACTTGGGGGTACTGGGAGGAGCTCTGGAGGTTAAACATGGCCTCTTCCAGTGGGGTGTGGACCTCATTCAGCTGCTTGAAGTACCGCCACTCCCTGGCATCTGTCACAACACTGAGAGAAAGAAGAACAATAGTAATGTTATTCATCATCAAATGTCAACATTAAGTAAGTCACTGGAAGATATTACTAGAATAATGCAAGCAGCTATCATGATGAAGCTGTATGGGGTTCTTAAAGTGAAGGCAATGAATCTTAAGGGAAAATATTTTTATTAAGTATAATCTCTTTCTATGTAACATCTACTGAAACATCTACTGAATATTTACATTGATACAGACTTTCTTTTCAAACAAATGTGTATTTTCCATATTTTATCATCACAGAATACTAAACAGTTTTATTACAGACATTGCCAATTTTTTGACCAGGCTAAAATTCTCTTTCCATGCACAGTCTACAGAGCATTTCCATGGATTTTTGACTTTTATTTCAAACAAATATTACAATATGACAATTACAGAATGTTTAATAGCTTCATTAATTTTTAAACAGAAATTGGCAAACAATCAACCAGGCCACTCACTACAACTCAGGGTCTGTCCACTCTATGGTGATAGTGTGCTGGACATTGTACGGGTTTCTCAGAACAAACTCAAAGAACTCGGAGGTTCCCAGAGAGGGGTAGATGTTGTGCTGGGCTGTGATGGCACTGTTTAACATGGTGAGGATTCCCTCCTGTTTGGTCTGCTGCCTGTACAGGTCTATGGTCTTCAGGTCTCTGGTTCTTTCCTGTTTTAACTGTTTGTAAGACTGAAGGAAGAGAAAAAACAAAATATACCCAATCTAATATTTTCTCAAAGTTTTTCAACTGACATTAGGGCTTGAGCATAGCACAGTTGTTATGAATGATTTATTGATGCTGCTAGAGAATCTATTGGTTTTCAGCACCACATACCGACAGTGGCAAGCTCCTCTCAGATGACGGCTGCTGTTGCTGTTGCTGTAACTGTCTGATGGCCATCATCCTGGCCAACTTCCGCCTCTTGACAGGATCCATATTCTCCGTGTCGTCTACCCCGGAGGTCATGGGGTCACGACGCGTGACTAACACAGACGCCAACTCGCGATGTGTCTCAGTCACGTGCTGTGCTCTCGCGACTTTTGACTTTCTTAGACCTTAAAATAAATACATATATATATTTATTTCCTGGGGCCGGTTTCACAAAGCAGTAGTTAGTAAGAATAACTAACTACTGAACTACCTCGCTAACGAGCAAACTTAGCGATTTTCGAGGGGTGTTTCACGAAGCAGTAGTTAACTTATCGCTAAGTTCAGTCGTAAAGTTCGGTCGTTAGTTCTCTCGTTACTCACCGTAGTCTCGAAACCGTCTGCCGGAAGTGGAACTCTTGCGTAAAAGTGTCACGAAAGCACTAACTCTCCAATTTTTGGTGGCTGGAAATGCATAAGAACGGCTGCTTTGAGGTCGTCTTAAAGGATCTCCACCACCTTTTTGCCGCTTTTTTTGTCACAGCTAGGCGCAACCTCTCGTAAATTGCATCATCGTGTGTATATTCTAATAGATTCTGCCTTTCATGAAAACGTCGTAGTCTACGTTGCCGTCTGGCGGTACGGATAGCAAGAAAGGTAGCCGCCATATTGGATACAAAGACAAACGACAGACAACGGTAACTAAGCAACCTTTTTATTTCACTCATTACGCATGCGTACGATGAAACTCTAGAGTTAGCGACTGGTCTGACCAGTCGTTAAATATCCAAGGCAACAACGAGACAATAACAAGCGAGAGAACTAGCGACTGCTTCGTGAAACGGCACTCTAACTAGCGAGAGGCTAACTACCGATCGCTAACTAACTACTGCTTTGTGAAACCGGCCCCTGGCATGTAAAAAAATTGTAAAAGACCTGTTTATAGATATATACTTTTTAATATGCACACATAGCCACTTTGACAGATAGGTTTGCATATGCGTGAACATTCAACCATGCAAACTCAAACTAACACACTAACGTTCAAACGCACGCACGCACGCACACACACACACACACACACTCTATACCTGAGTTATGTGACTGTGCCAGTCCAGCATTCAGACTTCCTCCCAGGAACCCGCTGCTGTTAGCACCCTCTGACGCCACCACTAACCGAGACTTCTTCAGGGGCAAAGCAGGCTCTGAACAGAAAGATTTGGACATTATCTTATACATAATCATCAATATAATTTACAAAGCAAAGCTTGTCAATATGATTTGGTTATTAAGTTAAAGCATCAATTTCTGTTGTCAGGCAGGCAGTTAACCAACCATTTGATGAACATTTTGGTGCACATTAAAATTAGGCCACCAGTAAGCTCAGTACCTGTGATATAAATCAAGTGCACATTTTGGACAAAGAAAGCCAAAACATGTAGTTACTGGACTTATATACTATACTCATTTTACTGTGTGTGAAGATACAAAATGCCAATTTATCAATATATATACAACATTCATCTTGATTATTATTATTATTATTATTATTATTATAGGTATACCTGTCTCTGCCAGTTTTGTCTTCTTGTCGGCAGGATGGCCCACATTGGCAAGCCTCAGATGCAGCCTCCCTTTCAGAGAGGTATTTACCCCTACTGGCCTCACACTTGTCCCCTGGGCCCCCTCCCCCCCAGTGTCCCCCTGGTCCTCTGAGTACTCTGTGATCATCACGTCCAGCTCGTACGTCACCTGGAGGGCATCACGACCCTGACGACACAGGTGCTGTCAAGATAAGAACAATTACAGTAAGCACTGGGTTTAAAACCTCATGCTTTCCATGAACGAAAACTACTGATTTTACACTTTCTGGCTGATTGTTCAATTTTCAACCATAACTGCATCTTGTAATGAGGTTACAAAATATGTTTTAAGTAAACTTAGATGGAATAGGTTTCAAGTAATACTGACCAAGTGCATTTGCTAGAAACAGAGGTTAGTTTCCAGTCTACTCTGAAAGTCTACTCAGGGGAATTAAAAAGAAAACACCCTCCTTCAGATTTGAAAGAAGACATTTAAAATAATGCTTAAAATGCAAGTGATAAAGGTAAGCAGTTCATTATAAGTGGTCTGAGAGGGGAAACAAAAATATAACGCCCAAATCTCCAGCTATATGGATGAAACCAGACATTCTACTACTCACACTGAGATCTACAGCACAAGACCCAATCAGCAGCAGTGACTCTCCATCCCAGACATCAATGTGGAGAACCTGCTGTGACAGGTGCTTCAGGAACAGCTTGGCTTCTCCTGGCTTCAGAAACGAGGGGTCCACAAAATATTTGACCTGGTAACCAGGGGGTCCCTTCTTCACTGTGTCGTCTGCCTCTAGTTTTTGGAGGATGTAAGGGGCCTTTTCTTTCTGTTGGGATAGGTCACCTTCTTGGGCTCCGAGGAGTAACCTGGTGTGAAAATATGGCATAAAATATGAGAGAGAGAGAGAGACCTCTGTTGTCTGCCACTGTTCATTACAATAAATAAATGGCATCACTGAGGAACTTATTACATCCTAAAACATAGAAGAAAAGAAGCTAAAACACCTGTGATTGCAAATAATAATATACAGTTACAATGTAGACTTATAATACACAGGCTATACTCTGTCTCACCTTTCTGAAGTGACCTGAGGAAAGCGGTAAAACTGGAATGTGAAGAAGACCGTGCCGTTGGACTTGGTATTCTGCTCCTGCTCATAGTATCTGTAAGAAACAGGATCATGGAAACCTCTCAAAGGATTTGGGTCTGATAGGAACCTTTTACATCTTTTGATAACAATGTTATTATTTTATGCAGCTTATATACATAAAATATACTTTATAAGAAACCGATTTCTGTCACAATTGACACTGAAGGATCAGGAATGACATATTCTAGTGTAATCATCAGCACACCAAAACATTACTTTTTAACCTTTTCTCCTATCTGTAACTCACTTAGCAAATGCCAGGAACTGCAAGTAGATCTCATTGCACACCAGGGGGTCCGTCTCTTCCTTGGCAGGGTCAAAGGTCACATGGTCTGCGGGGTCAACGACCTCTGGTGCTTCACCAAACCTGTCCAGGATTGGTGGAAATCCCGCCGTGTAGAGTCTGGCATAGGCTGCTCTGGACAGACCCTGGCCACTGGTATAATACATAGAAAACAGCTATCAGCAGGCTCAGTATTAAAAAATTACTGCAGTTCTATCAAACTTATATTAATTCATCTTAAAACTGGGAGCTACAGCAAAGCTTGTGCCATATAATTCTATATACTAAACAGTCTGCATAAAACATCGATTGAAATACAGTATCCCCAAGCTGATACCCACACATCCTGATATTTTACTATAATTTTAAATTAAAAAGAGTTGTAGCAATGTCCCTGCTCTCAGAAATAGCTCTATCTTAACATACCTTCTAGTATTAGGTGTTGTAGCAAGTATTGGGGCATGAACTGGAGTGAAGGGCAGCTCCTGAAGGTCTGTGCCATCTCTGGCAGACCCAGGCTGAAATAATAATTAATAAAAAAAAAAATAAATAAATAAAAGATTACAAAATAGACAGTACAGACAATAATAGACAAGTAAATAAATGTAAAGTTTATGAAGGAATGTTATATCATCCATCACAAGATTTGGATAGGTTACAGACATATATGAATTAAGCAACATACGTGCTCACACATACACATACATAAACTTACATCTCTCAGGTGGGAGATCTCAACAGAGTATGTATTGGGCAGAGAATATGGAGGTACAAAGCCTGGCCCCTGTGCAAAAGGCATTCCATATCCCTGTGTATACGGGGCGGCCATCATGTAGGGAGGTTGCATGGGGGGATATGGCTGGCTCTGGTTGAAAGGCATATCCTGTGGGGACCCATAAGGCTGTCCCTGGGGCACCTGTAGAGACATGGGGCCTGCACCACGTGACTGGGACCTGGATATTAAATTAACATGATACGTTATAACATGACAGGTCATAATAAGTAAAATATGCAATTATAATGTAACAGGAATGTGGAACAGAATAGGATAGGATAGGATAGACCAGACCAGACCAGATTATGATATTACAGCAAGTAGAAGAATATTTAGTATATTTCTACTGGTAAAATTTTATATTATGTAGATTATGTGGGGAAAAGTGAAGACTTTCTTTTTTCCAAGTTGGGACTGTTCAGTTATGCAAACTGCACAAATTATTGAAAAAAGCAGACCAAAAATAACTCTTTACACAAATAATTAATCAGTTTGTTAATCAACCAGCAATTCTATCCATGAAATAAAAATAAGTTCACAAACTAGAAACTTGTTTTTGTGAGAAAACAAATTAAAAGTGATTAATTTTCTAAAATGGATGTTAACATCTTAATATGCCAGTCAATACTATGTATTAAGTTATAGACACTAAAGTATTCTTCTTAGTTTGAATCAGTCACTGTCCTCATGACAGGGAGGAGACTGCTGTTTAGTGAAAAAGTAGAAAAATGTGGTATGGGGCCCAGGGAGCTACCTAGGCCCATTGATTCTGGGTTCCAAAAACTTGGAAATCTGCCGAGAGTTGGAAAAATCTCATCCCTGTCAGTGTATCAGTCAAATAATCCACTTGAATAATATTATTAACAACAAAACATGGCCTTACAACATGTCATATCATACTTCTGATGGCACACTAGCACATTCATTGTTTCAGCCAATGACATATTTCCAAATTAACCAATGATTGGCAAATACACATATTCCATAAGAAAACTGATGTAAAATTGTTCATTTTCTTTGACCACAGTATTTTGCATGCATTTAGCCATTTGGCCAAATATAAATATAAATGTGCCAGTGCGAGTTATTAGTCAATACACACCTTGTAGGGGATGGTGGGTACACGTAAGACCAGCTACAGCAACACAAAGGTGAAAATGATAATTAATGCACTCTCCAGAAACAAAAAGACAAAATATAAAACACTATCATGTTACATAGGTTATGGTCAAAAGTCTCTTGATAGGACCCTTTCTACAACAAGCAGTATATTACTTAACTGATAGTCTCTCCTGGTTCACTTAGAGACTATGAAAATAACCTGGCTATTACGAAAGAGAGTCACCAAAATGGATCCTCTGTAATCAACAATGGAAATGAATTAACGTAACAGTACTACAGGAGGTGATTTATCGGAGGGCTTATTGTTATATGGTAGAACCTCTTAAAGTGAACTGGTGCAGACTTCATCATTTAAATATGTGTCTCGGAGTAAAAAGGGTCAAACATGAATCTTGTTACTTGGGTATTACTGTACTACACAGACACTAACTACCACACAAGGATTCTAACTACAAGTTCATGCTACAAGTAGACCACCCCGTTTACCAGATATAACTAGAAATTGCTCAAGTGCTATATTTAGACCACCCTGTGTATCAGAGATAACTGGAACTTAGCCTCTGTCATCATCATGTACCAACAGCTTCATACTGGAGTCATGCTGAAGCCGGGGGCCAGTTCCAAGTGACCTCCCCAGGGTGATTCAGACTGTTCACAAAATACCAATGAAACAAGCAAATCTAACCATTGTCTATCCATTTTTTTAAGCTTCAATCAGTAAGTGTACTCAAACATCAAAACTACTTATCACAAGGCAAACATGCAATTCTATGTCTACACACAATGACTACAATTAGTTTGTATCTAAAAAACACATTCACATAACTATGGGAAAATAGTTTTTATAAAAAATTAAACTAAGATCCCGGTTAAAACAGTGACCAGAGAAGCAGTTATACTAATCAGTTACAAGATAATTCTAAAATGGTAAACAAGCTAGAGGCTTACTGGTCCTGATGCACAATAACGGTATCATTAGTGGCTGCAGAAGTCTGGAGACTAGGGGTATGAATCTTCCCGACATCACGCGATGAGGCTTGAAGCAGAGATCTACCGAAGCAGCGAAAAAAAGGCAGAAACAAAGAAGCAAAAACAGGTGAACTAAATTTTAATAAATAAATAAATAAATAAATAAATAAATAAATGACAATAAGATACATTATCTTGTAAGAAAAAGGAAGCATAAAACCAAGCAATGAAATACAAGCCAGAAATATCTGCACATATGTATTTGCGAAAGAAAAGTTCTATTATCTATTAACCTATTTTCTCTGCCACTTGAATGCATAACATACATGGTTTAACATTCCAAAACTAGGCTGTGTAAAAATGCTACCTCCTAACTAAAGGCTGACAAATGCAATTGGCAAGATGCAACAACTGCGCCTTTCTAATTACATTCTATATTCAATACATTTGACATATATAATAATACAAAAATATACTTCTTTGTTTTTCTTTCTTTTCTTGTCAACTTTCTTGCAAAGACAAGCAATCGTAGTTGCCATATCTAAGCACTGCCCAGCTTTGTCACACAGATTTCATTCAAGACAATTCAAATGAAAAAACTAAAATTAGTATGTCAGTTGATAAAAAATGCAACATGTTCAGACCATATAGTCATATACATGCATAAACTGGAGCTCATGCCAGCATTTTAAAAAAACTTCATAAAAAGTTACTTTAAAACTTACTTCCCCCCTCTACCAGGCAGAGGTGGTCTTCCACTGAGACCAGCAGTGGGCAGAGCCTGGAGCACAGTGCTGCCATCTTCAGTGGTGTTCACAGACTCCATGGAGTGGCCTCTCACCAAGGAGGAGGTAGGATACTGTAGAGATACCTGGCTGCCTGCACCAGAAATACCCTCAGCCTTCTGAAATTATAAGATAATATCTGGACTGTACAGATACCATGCTCACTTGCTGTTATTTACTGAACATTAAGCATTATTAGTATTGCTGACACTTGTCTTGAGGTTAAATTTACTTACTACTTCATGTTTCTTAAAGTTATCTTTTACAGCAGAATATTTCAAGCAAGCACCAACCTTCTTGTTGACCACAAAGTTAAATGCCAGATTTCCAGGTGCATTCTTCACATTGCTGTCCTCCAATGAAACACCTTTATACATGAACACTTCGTTAGGCATGGGTGTGGGTCCACCAATCAGAGATATTGTTACTTCCTGCTGACCCCCAGCAGAGAATGGAGACCAGACGGCCCACCTGACAGCCACTGTGTGTGTCTGGGACTTCACCATGCTGTGAGAGAGCTGGTAGAAAAAAGTATCTGATATTTATTAATCTTATACACTATTCTCTAGCAGGTGCATAAGTCAAAATAAAATCCATTCAGTGACACCCATTTGTTGTCACTTTCGTATAACCGTTTCCTGCCCTAATTCATCTGGGGACAAGTGCAAAATAAAACAATCAAATAAAACACCTTGTTTAGCCTTACATAAGTTGAATAGAAATTAGATAATGCTGAACAACATGAATGCTTATAAATTTTGATGGAATTAAGATTATATGTTAAGACTGAATAAGCCATATTTCACCTTCCTGTCCTCAGCATTCATGGGCTCAGAGACCACATACTCCAGCAGGAATACTATAGACATCATGGGGTCCTCCACCATACCATCTAGTGGGATACTGTTCCTCAGGACTAGAGACACACAACTGGAACTGCCACTACAGTGGATAATACAGAGGTATGAATTAATACAACCTAATATCTTATTATACTGTTCCTCAGGACTAGAGACACACAACTGGAACTGCCACTACAGTGGATAATACAGAGGTATGAATTAATACAACCTAATATCTAATTATACCGTTTCCTCAGGACTAGAGACATACTAGTACATCTGGACAGCCACTACAGTGAATAAACAAAACAGAAAAGAAAAGAAAAGACATGGATAAATACATATTGATATCTCAATTAAAATGAATATATCTTTAAAACTGAAAAATTAAGAATCCAGAGAAGCACAACTCACATAGAGCCAGTAGAAGCAGAGCGCTGGTGTCCTCTCTTCAGAGTTGCTCCTTTCTTGTGAGCCTGAGAGTCGGGGACGAGGTGCGCCACCTGGGGGTCCTGTACATAACACCAGCCATTGTGGACACCAACCTGGCAGTTGAAACATTGATATAATAATAATAATAATAATAATAATAATAATAATAATAATTTTAAAAAATAATAATTGTGAAAATAGTTTCATTGAATCTCAGATTTATACAGTTAAAAGTTTTCATTACGATAGATCCACATATTTGATTAACCTGTCGATTGTTTCATCTGTTCACACTGACAGACTTGGTCAAATTACCTGAACTTTATACTCTTTACTTTATATTTGTATATCAATATATATTCTTCGGGGGGCGGGCGGGACTAAAAAGTCACCACTTTAAAAAAAAACCAACATCCCCAGTACTCACCAGTAACCTTCTCTCTGACACAGTGACATTGCTACCATCTGCCACCCTGTGTTCTCGGTTAATTCTGTCCTCATTACAAAGACGGCACAGCTCCTCCTCAAACTTCTCCACGTTAGGATACAGCATGATGTTCACCTTGTCCACGTAACACTGAACTTGTTTTAACAGTTTGGGCTTCTTGAGATTCTCCACACCTGTGTTACAGAAAAATACTGGGATAATAAGAATGACGTTTGGTGAGAGAGGAAGTTCATTGTCTTGAGTTTTCTGACAGGACAAGTTAACACTAATCATTCAGTGAATTCAAACAAAATATATCTCATACATTTCCCAAAGAAATTTGTTTCGTGAGTTGTGCCTAAAAGAGACAATAAATATGATTTATCTTTTAATTAACTGCCATATTTTCCTTTTGTTTCTATCTGTTTTAGCATTATTTCCTTACCAGCCCCTGGGTTCTCAGGGTCCTTGGCTCCCTCTGCTATACCAGGTACTACACTGTTATTTCCCACTATGACATTCTCAGGCAACAGGTGGAAAACTTTCTGCAGAGCCCTGTGAGTTCTAATGGAATATGACAACTGGCAGCCCTTGATGAGTTGAAGGAGTTCATTGCCTAAATAAATAAATAAATAAATAAATAAATAAATAAATAAAATGACAAAATGCCTAGAATCAAGCCATTTACAGGTAGTTTCTTAAACGTTATTGGTACATGTGCTTTACTGCAAACTTAATGAAAACTGAATTCTTCACAAAATTTACAGCAGAAAAATATAAAGGTTTACTTTCTATAGGATCCTCCAGGTACAGAAGAGCTCTAGGCGTGCCATGGTACAGGTCCACTCTGCAAGATTCAAGGGTGTAATCAGTGGGGGCATTCCACTTACTTCCAAGTAAAATTTACTAGTAAATCATCCTAGAAATGCTCATAATTTATGAATTAAAATATTTTTCTTTATCTTATTCTATTCAGCAGTTGCTCATTTGAAGTATCATAATAAGTACCAAAAATGGTTTAGCTTTGTAAATCAAATATACTATAATTTAAAGGGACAGAATCATTAAGAACAATTAGTTATTGCCAAATACTTCACAGAGGCAGAGAGTACTGGTATATACATTCAGAACAAAAACATGAAAATAATAATAATAATAATAATAATAATAATAATAATAATAATAATAATATCCGTATATATAAAACCATTCATAAAAGATTACCCTATCTGTTCATAAAATGTAAATACTCACCTTTGAGATGGCCCCTGTTTTCCGCTGGACGTATCCTCCATTTCTCCCTCGTACTTAAATATCCTGACCATCCCCCAGCCACAGGACCTGTGTCTCTTATGGCCACTTTTATCAAAACTCACCGCCACCAGTTCCACCACCAGTACAATACTCAGGTCATTGAGAGTGGTGTGGAAATAGACATTCTGCAGATAAAAAATTAGGTTAAATTTTAAAATTTGTTCATATTTTACAGTGATTTATTCCATGACTGGAAACATAGATTATATATACTTGCCCCAAAATTCCTAACTTATCAACAGTTCTATAGAGAGGAAAATGTTCAAACTGCCTCTTATAGTTTTGAAATAATAAAATTTGAAAATGAGAAAAATAATAAATTTTGAAAAAAAAAAAAAAAAAAACAGTTCATGAAATACCTGATTAAAATTAACTTTAAATTTCTGTCCTGTTGACTTGGCTGTGCTCTCTGGTCCTATCCACGTCCTTCCAAAGAACTGCTTGTATGTCACATCAAACAGACTGAGCCGCAACTGGTAGTGGACACCCTTTTTATCCTCATCCTGAAAGCAGAGAGAACAAGTTTCTGATCAGAAATAAAATGCTAAAACTACTCTGTAGCCAGGTAGATTTCTATTAAATAATGCAGAAACAAGTTGAAAGAAACAAATGACAGATAAAAAAAATGACTTTGAAATACCAACCAGGTCAATCTCCTCCAAACCCTGAACATTTCTCAAAGTCAGTTCAAAGGGGGCAGAGTCCTGTGGGTCTGCTGCATTAAAATATCTCCTGAAGTTAGGCTGCAGCTGACGTTTAGTCTCTAAGTAATCTGCAGCCACTTTCAGCTGCTCTTCTGCAGACTCTCTCCAAGGTTCAAAGAATCTTATTAGTTTTTTGCTGCTTGTTGAATGTGACTTGGTCTCGTTAAAACTTGGCACAGTCAGCCATGTTGATGACTTTGTGATGGCGTCATCCATTTTCAATCTATATCTTTTTTGCTATATAATTCAATACTAGTACCTCAAAGTGGATACAAAACCATAAAAGCACTGGTACATTTCTCAGTGTCAGTGTCACAGCGTTCATTTTATTCAGCCAGCTATCATTATATTTAGTGTTATAAACACAATGAGAATACAGGAGATATCGACACTGTTCCCACTTTACATTTCATCTGTCAGCCATTATCTCATTATCTCCCACTTCACACAGGAACATCATAACATTATCAGTACTTAGCACCTCAGGATTCACCAGATGCTTTCAACAAGATATTTGTACCTCAGCAGGCTCTGTGAAAAGAATATATATATATATATATATATTCGCCGATCAAAATTGGTTTTAGAAAATGCCATCCCATCCTGTCTCCAACAATTCATGTTTGAATCCTAACAATTCATGTTCCTTTCTCATTGATCTAGAAAATCATATCTCCATCAACACTCAAATATGGCTGAATTAATGCTGAGTATCATTACTATTCTAAGAAAAAAATCAACTAAGTTAATGCTTTTGAATCTACTCCCACCTTAACAATTATAATATGATAATAATATTTAGTAACATGAAAATAACAAAATATTCTGCACTAAACAAAAGCTCCTGCAATTTTCCTCAGAGCATTATGAAATCCAAACAAAAAACATCATGAAAACGGCTCTAAGCTGCATCAGTCACCTTCAGCTGTCCCTGCCAGTGTATTAACCCAACAATGCAATATCCTCTGGTACTTTTCACAGTACAATATCCCATTAGGCAAACAAAGACAGAAAAAAAGTACTAGTAACTCCATTAATAGTAATCCCTTTAAAGCTTTGGCACCTGACAGTCGTGACTGATTGATGTATCTGCCCCTATTGAGCGAAAATAAAGCATTCTGCAAGGTACGCCTCACTTCAGATCCATCATGTTCCAATATACTAAAATAGGAGAAAAAAAATCAGACCATTAAGCCTACACAGTGTGTGCTCTGTGCTGTTTATTTCCTGTCTGGTGAGCATCCTTACCTACACACTATAGTCATAAATCTCCAGGTGAACAATTCAAGTAATTGAAGATGTATGTTTTCTGCTTAGCCTCATAAATCAGAGCTTGCACATAAATATCAACCTTTTGGTAAAAGTGTTTTCTTGGAGTACCTACTAGTATAAAACTTAAAGTTCTACATCCTGATATACAACTCTGTAAAATAGTATATACATGCTTACAGGCAGTTTGAAAAACGAAATAACTGTCTCAGTAATACTAATACACAATCAATGTAGAATGTCTCTTCTGTTTAGCCACTTACATTTTTTCAGCAGACTACTATTACTACTAGTATCTTTGAAACAATGGCAGATCCAGGGGTGGGGGTGGGGGTGGGGGTGGGGGATGGTGGGGAGGTTGGGACACAGTGGACATGTGCCTCTCCCTTACTTTCTGAGGGAAAGCAATTTCCCCATCACATTGCCCCACATATCATAGTTACATTGTCCTAACCTCTGTTTCATATTATACTCTTTATCCTTGCCTCTTACAAACTTTAACAAAATCCTGAATCAAGCTCCTGAATCCAGCTCTGTAAAACTCAGCTTTTGAAATGAAATAAAAATTACTCAACTTCCTCACAAATGTAAATCCAAACTGCAGGATGAACAGAAAACATCAAAACTGATATACTTGCACACTACTGCTCAGATGAGAAGCTTTAGAAAAATACCAAAAACAGACCTCGGTACTGCGTCAGCTATTCGCCCTGGACCTTGAAGAACAATTCCAAAACTAATAGTATAAGTATCATCCCTGCATAATACATCCAAAGTAAAAAGCTTTAGAAAAAAACCCACTATGGACCCTCCAGGCATTGCGCTGGCTCTTCCACGCCCTGGAGATAGAGAAAAATATCAAAACTGATACTTGCACTGAAAGTTGTCTCTCTGGTCTACAGACAGCTTAAAAACATGAAAACTGATGATGCCTTGAGTAATAAATAATGAAAATCAAAAACCCTGCTACATCTACTAGTAGATGTCGTGCCTTTGCATTTCCACAGTAAGCAATCTCCCATCGGATCAGCACAAACAAAATGGTTGTCATGGCAATCTCACAAACCACAAGAGAATGATTGAGAACTCTGTGCGTAATACATTAAAACTATCCTAGCTGACCTTTTACTAACAGCCACAGGGTTAAGAAATTTAGAAGTCCTTGCTGACACAGGTAAGTTTTTTAATTTTAATTAAAATTTGAGCTTCAGGCAGGCTATAAAATGTGCAATTGTGGGCAACTGTTTTAAAGTCAATTTTGCTGAAGAGTGAGAAAGAGAACAATTTGAATTTGTTTTGATCATTTTTTTCCATTTTGTTACCTATTTGAATGATATCTAAAAAACTGCCTTTGTTGGAGATTGGTGAATATTGATCGCAACCTTAGATAGTTGATGCATTACGGCGTCAGCCCATTATTTGGTTTATTTTCTCTCCTCTGTAATATCACACTCACGTCTACTGGATGAATCAGAAAACTCACCTTCTGCTTTTTTTTACCTTTAATTTCTTATTAATTGGATAAAAAAATAATGCTGGTCTCAGTGAGCCTAAAACTGGTCACATAAACTAAGAATACATCTATGTCATGTAGTAAGTAATGCTGTTACTTAAAGATATAAATTTAAAGATATAACATGTACTAGTATCAAGTAGGGACTTAAGCATACTAGTACTACTACTAGTAGGCAGATCTACTACTAGTAAGTAGTTGGTTAAAATTGTTACCATTATATATACATAGTAAATCTACCAACGTTTACTTTTAGTCAATATTTAACAGTCAGCAACATGTTCTTGTTAACTTCAATTTTCCTACATTGGTTTATTGCCGTTGACTTAATACCATTTGTAAAGAAGTTTACCCTGTATTTAAAACAAACTTTACTTACTGCAAACAACAGGTCAGTTGAATTTCAATGGACTATACAAAGACCTTCCCAATAAGAAAATAAATGTGTTCTGCTCCTATACAAATTTTAATGTAAAATGCCGATACTTGGAATATACCCAGGTTCATAATGGACAGAAATTGTGTTTTTTTTTCTCAATATTTTATGGCTATGCTATAAGTAATTACCTACCTAATAAATTTAAGATAAATAAAAAAAAAAAAAAAGCTGTTACAACCTAAACTATTTTTTTCACTGAGAGTACTTTGTGGTGGTTTTCTTCAAATATAATTCTAGTGCATCATGTCAAGATAGTAGCTGGCATCTCTCTGTTTTTCATTGAAAAGTATCTGGACAAGGTTTCCTTGAGGCAACATTGCAATTTATTGATTTCTTAGCCTGTCATAAATAATAAACATGACACCAAAGTCAAGATCTAATTACACCAAAAGCTAATATAGAACAGTGAATCAGCACATTACCTGAAATGATGGTTTTCTGGCTTAATTAAAAAAATTCAGTGTACATGAGTAGATGTAAGAACCTGTTGACCTGCTCAGAATCCATTCAGTGTAACTGAAATAACCTGCAACTGTAGCTTCATGATTCACTTTTACATGTACTAGTGAATCAGCAGGGGCGGATGGAAACTGTCTTCTGGAAGACAGTCATAATTTTTAAGTTTACATTAATGGGCATGTTATTTTGAAAATGTCTGAAAATATATCTGGATCAGCCTCTCAACCGGGGTGGGTAAACTAAAGCCAGGATCTAGGTGTGGACCACAAACGTGCCTTTTACCTTGAAGTGTTTATAAATTAGCTGTTCTCTTCTGATATAACTTAATCTGCCTTGTCACTTAAAGTTGTAAATTTTAAAACTTCGTAATCTTATCGACTGTGGGAGCTGCTGTATTGGCCACAGATTTAGTGTTGTGTAAACTTGTACTCTTTATCGTATAACATGGTTAATGCAAAAACTTAATTCAACTTTCAGTTGACGAGGGCTGTCTTATCACTGAATGCAGATAATTGAACAAACTACAACACTGTCAAAAAAAAAAGAAACATATCTTTGAAAGTAAAACTTCTTTTACTAGTTAAAATAACAATATAGTACACTAGGTATGATATAGTTCCAAAAGCCTAATTATTACTTCACCCTGCTTTATACACATCCACCATAGGGCCACATTTCCTGGAGATAAATATATAGTATAACATATTAATTTAGCCTAATGCTGTGAAAACTGAAAACATCAAACTTCCAAATGAATTTACTGACAATTCTCTCCAATTTCCACATGATTTACTATTTCTGTGTCACTGCTTTCAGCTCATCCATCTTGGAACATTCAACTGATTGCAATTGCAATTCCCACCATTAGTTCTAATCCAACCAGCTACGCTACCATTAACGTGAGAAAGAAAGGCATACTAGTTACCAACTCGTAACAAGATGAAACCCTTCTAAACTCCTATTTTTTCCAAACCCCATCAATTAAATCCAATTACTGTAGGTTGGTGAGCATCTCCCTGAATCCCTGTATTCCACTCTGGTGAATGTTCTCTCCTGAGCCAGCTTCTCGTTAGTGGATCACATTGCCTAGAAGAAGGTAAGGCAGCAATGGGCTAATCTCATTGGCTCCTCATAAAACTGCGATGCTGCTGTATTAAGAAATGACACTGGCTAATAAACAGTCAAGCTAACTCACACACTGTGTATGTGTGTACAGTATGTATATGGTTAGACTGGGGTTTACCTGGGTCCAACACAACATGAGGATGTATTTACATTTAACCCAAAGACATCACTTCTAACTTCATACAAGGATGTACTTAAGGACCTTTTTAGGAGCTCTGCTTAGACTGTATGCTGTGTAGGTTTCACTTTAGAGGCAATCTTGTCAACAAATTTAGGAAGACTCAGAAAAACCAGTATTGGCTTGCATTTCTCGTCTGGTTGATGCTTCTCTGTTTCACCTTGCCAGGTATGTTCTTTTTCTTCTTTTATCCTGTTTTTTTCAGAAAAAAAAGTAGGTTCCAGCAGCTTTGTGATCTGTTCTCTATACAGAAGTGATCCTATTAAATGTAGTGTGAACATGCCCAGTAGAGAGTCCACCCAAGTCAACAACCTGTGTTGAGAGGCATAACAAGCAACTGATTTAAGCAAACAGACTGTAGTTGATAAACAGAACTTCTTTGAATCACTATCAAACTACAATCAAACCATTTGTTTTTTATGTTGACTTTCCATTTAAATGGGAGAACACAAATTTATACAATTCTTTTTTTTCCTGAGGCCCTAATTCTTTGCATGTATTCAAATCCAGATATTCTATCCCAGTCAGGTGTTTACAGGTAACTCTAGTTTAATCTGTTGACTGCAATCTAACACCTCATAATATTTATCAGTCATCCTGGAGACGCAGTTGACTTTGAGAAATCAGGTCACTGTGAGGTCACAATGACAAAAGAATACCGCTACTATTTGAAAATCTTGTTAACACTGAATTGCTACTTAAATTGCTACATTAAAAAAAAATACTTTTCTACAGGACACTAAGTAATGTTTGGTTTGAATGTGTGAACTGAAGGAAAACTGAATGAAATGCCAAGATTTAGAAACCAAATACTATTCAAGCAATGAATGCAATCTGCTAGTGAAGGTAACAGTTTGAAAACATTTGATTAACAGAATTAGGTTGTTTTCATTTAAAATTTATTTTTGAAACTTATTCAGTATATAAATTTCTTATATTTATTTCATTAAACTATTTACAGTAAATCATAAAAATTTTCTGTGCATTACAAACAAAATTCTGAGATAGAAAATGCCCAACTCATGTTGAACCCATCTCATGTTGAAGCTGAGGTAGACCTCTACATGGTTTTAAGAGGCCTAGGGCTATAAAAAACACAGCAAAACAAGTGTAGGTCGTGGTCCCACCCAGAATTAATACCATTTTTATTATGGTTACACAGCCAAACAATGTTTTATGATACTAGCTTCTGGCACATTTATAGAAATACAGGGCTTAATTTTACAATGCATGATGAAAGAGTAACACTACTACACACTGTCCTTTTAAATCATTGATTTCCATTTTTTCATAAACCTACTAGAACTAGTACAGATTCAGATACAGTTTAAAAACTTTGTTAGTCTTGTTAAGAATTTAAAAATGGTTTCCACAAGAAATAAATATGCCCATATGCAACAACCATGCATACAAAGGCACACACTGATACACACACATGCACATGTACAGTATGCAAAATGTTAACAGATTTGCCACGCAGTTTACAAACACTTAATTTAACAACAGCTCCAGACTGTTTGTTTACTCCAGTAACGTTATCACTAAGCAGACCTGATAGCACTTCAATAACTGAAACCTTATACAAAACATTAAATCCAATAAATCTGCTTAGTATTCAACTCCATACTGACAGAGATTAAGAATACCTTGAACTCAGCAACACAGAATGTTTTAGATTGGATTTGCTGGAACAGCTCAACTATCACACTCTAGTGTGTGATAGCATGAAGCTAGAGTGCTTTAAAGATTTTTGACTGCTTTGCTAAAGATACAGGACTACTGTACCAGTAACTGCTTGCTAATATAATAATAGCCACAAAATTCAATATGAAATCTCCAATAATTAAAAATAACCTTGTGAGGCCCATTTTGACAATACATGACATTTTTTCTAGTCTTGTAATGGATTGCTACATATAAATGTGAAATTTGGAATACATCAAGAGATCTTGTGTATGATCAGAGTATGACTGTGTAAAGGCAGAGGCGAGTGATTTGTAGATTTGATAGTAGTGTTTCACATCAGTTGGTAAGTTGTAACTGTGGGGCGACTGATGCCACTTGCGCAATACCCAGTGCAACTGCCTCTATGTGCACATTGCTATAAACTAAATTTCTACCTTAGCTGACTTTTTTTTTTTATGGGACCGCATAGCCACACATTTTCAATATTGCTCAATTTTCACTTCCAAAATGATCGGATTCATATATGAAGTTTTAAAGCCAAAACTGTACTTGTAGTTGTGTGACAAAAAAAAAAAAAAAAAAAAAAAATTGCACATCAATGTACGCTTGATATCATCAAATGACTTAAGCATTGGAAAAACATCTGGTTATTTATACAAAATGTACAACATGGGTTGTTTTTCAAAATGGATTCTGTGAAGTTTAGTTATGTACTACACACAGAAAACAAACCCCTTTGTTTGGCCCACTAATTACACGTAAAATATTTTTTTGTACGAATCTTTTTTTCATCTGTGTGATGAAACTCAGATGCTTGATGCCTGTACTTTTTATGTTCCAGTAATTTAAACATTCAATAAAAAGCCAGAAATACCACACCATTGTGCATGCAGTTATTGGTTAATTTGAGTATGAGCAATCATAAAAGACTAAAGGATCACCAAAGAGTGGAGACGGGAAAAACGGACCCAAGCTTACAGGGGTGTGGGCACTTATCTCGTGCAATTTGTAACATGGACCTTCTAAGATCTCTAAACCTGCGAAAACGGAAAGAGGATATCAAACTTAAACAAGAGTTATAGCAACTTGGTTAGAGAAAGAGGAGAGCCTGCCGACAACAGAGGCAGATTACACACGCCGCTTTTACTAACCTTGATTGGAATTCCATCGATAATTTTTATGGAAAGGCAAAACGGATAACTATCTTCTTCTGCTCGTTTTTGCCTATCATAGGGTGGCGGTATTATGGGGTTTTTCTTGATAAAATCCTTCCAAGTTGCCATATTTCATTTTGTTGCAACGGACGCACCGGATGTAAATAATAACACAAAAGAAGTGTTGCTCATTTATATATTTTGAAATTGTAATGCAACCGACAAATTTATTATTTGAACGAGTTCTTAATGCTTAATGCAACAAAAAGTAAATTTTACTGACAAATTTAGATGAAATATTTGCAATAAATCACGGTTGTCTATTCTATTTTAGGTGAGCTATGACTTTGCGGTTTGCTATTTATGCTGTCGGGTATGTGACGTCATCAGTGGAATTCCCTCAAAACAAAGAAGATGCGCCTGTTTCGTCTCTATTTTGGCTGACTTCACGATAGAAGATGCCGGAGCAAAAACCTAGCCCCTCTCCTGAAAGAGCCATTTATGGTTTTGTGTTGTATCTAGGGTCATTTCTAGCACTAGGTAAATTACAGATTAAGTAAAGTGAGTTTAGCCACTCGGGTTCACTTCAGTACCGATTTCTGACTTTCATTGTGTTTGAGTCTGTCTGTAGTGTATCATCGAAGATGACATCTAGATCTAATTATCTGCTGGTACAATTAAGTAGTTTTGTCTGCTGCTGCTACTGTTACGACTACCAGTTCTAGGCCTACCTTTTAACTAACTCCAAAGTGTAGATCTAATAAAATAAATCTCAGGATGCACAACATTATATGTTTATTATAACAATTGCATAACCTGGAACATTTTATTATGTATAATTTTTGCTCTTATAAATTATAGGGTTTTATTTAGTGTGGGCCTATGTGCCGGATCCTTGGCTGGAATCTATAGGACTCACATACTTACCACAAAAGTAAGTAGAAAAAAATAAAATCATTGAAAAAAATAATAGTAAAACAAAAGAAAAGAAAAGTAAAAACAGGCTATTCAAAATTGAAAGAAATAAATTGCCCATGAAAGATCAAAACACTTTTTAATTATTTATGAGGAATGCATAAAACACTAAATTTGAGTGCAACATTTCTCTCCCACAAAAATAATCTGGAATATTTTTAATATAAATATTTGATTTTGGACTTGAAAGAATGTTACTTACTCCATGCACAGTCCTTAATCTTACCAGTGATCTTAGCCAAATGCCTATAAAATTTTGTAAATTTGTTCATTTATAGACCACCATTTCTTCTTTTACTCTGTCTATTCTTAGATAACTTAGGGTTTAACATTGTTTCTACATGTACTAGTACATGATTTAGGGTTTTGAGTAGGATTTCCTGTTAATTATGTAAAAAATATTATATAAAAGTTTATATGCAGTGCAAATGTTTCATTACAGATATTGGGCCATAGCAGGGCCAGTGTTCTTGTGTGGGATGGTTGCCATGGTATTGTGTTTGTATATTGGTTACAGCTTCCTCATCACAGCTCCTCTTGACTCAATTCACACTATCAGAGGTTTGTATACTCACCAGAAAGTACAGTTTACGAAGTTTGAGTGTGTTAGAGATTGGGGGCAGTTTAACTGATGAATTGACTTATGAGGAAAGATGTAAGTTTGCACTGGAAATCATCAGAACCCCCCCCCCCCAAGTAAATAATATTAATAAAAGAGGATCGACCTGAATGCCCAACTGTTCTTGTAGTAGCACAAAACACAACAATGAGTCTCTTGAGAAAATAACTGCCATTTCTATCATCATTACACAAGAGACAATAAAAACCAATAACATAATCCATGATTGTAATATCTTCTTTTAACTTCTTATCTTCTTTTAACTTCTAGACAAGCATTCTCGCCCAGTGATCACCTCAGGTCTTCCAGATGGAGCAATAAAACCAATAGGAGACATAGATATATCAGAAGTGAATAGACAGCTGTATGGGGACAGGTGATACAGGTAAGTTACTATAATTAACCTCGAATGTTTTTAATTTGATTTTTAATTTAATCAAAGGAGTTCACTTAATTGAAATAATGGTATAAACTATTTACAGATTTCTAAAAGCATAACCAAACAAAAGCCAAGTGACATTCTGATATTAAGTTTAAAAAAAAAAAAACTTGAGGGACCAAGAGAGACAAACATGTAGATTTACAAATGATTGAAGTGAAGTTGCTTTAAAAAGGCAAATTTTCAAATCTTTTTCCAGGAGTTCAGCCAGTGCCAGGAGCTGCAATGATCAGCTGATCAATTCAATGATGTTGGTGACATGATCTGTAACTACTGGGAGATAATGTCACTAAAAAATCAGAGGCTAGCATGAAGCCAAATCTGCAGTTCTGTGTCAGTCATTTGACCTGCCAGTGGCACCCCCTCTTGACAGAGAATGTGTTCAAAATGCACTGCCAGCTGACCTAAGGCAACCATGAAGCCACACCTGCAGTTTTTGGAGAGACTATCATGTTATCCAGAGAAAAGCCTAATATTATACCAGTATAAAGAGCCCTTGAAGTCTTTATTTACAGTATATTGTTGTCAAATTATGAGTTCAACCCAGTGCTGACTGTTAAATTTTGCTGTCTTTGTGATTGACAACAATTACAAAGGTTATATACCAAGTGACATATAGGAGGTTAACAGGAAGAACAGTCAACTTTCAGGGTCAGATGCTGATGTAAAGTTTGATTTTAGAGTTGCCAGCTCTATGCATTTACACATCTTTGGCATATTATGTGCATTGTTCACAGATGACATTCTGCTGTTTATAAGACTTAAGATGATAGATGTACACATTTTGAGGTTTGTCATGTTGTGAACTCTGTAATTTGGTTACCAGTGACAACTGAAATCTTCAAAAAAGTATTGTTACAGACAGTATGATATGAGCAAAGCAGATCAGAGATTACAGAAATAAAATGTTTGTTATATTTTTGAGACAATATTACTCTCCTGACTTCTGATAATTTCGACTCACACCTGAAAAATAGTGTATAGTATAAGATAAATAATTGAATAAACCAAATTTTTGGAACTTTCAACTTTTCATTTAGATTTTCTGTGGCAGCTTTTTGTACATTATTTTGACATATTTAAAATAGATAACTCAGTTTGCATCCCTTTCTTGGCTGTAGATTGTTGTAGTTGTGATTGTGTTGGTTGTGACAACTGATCATCTGGCGGAACCGGAAATAATCCATTTTAGCAGGTTATGGATTGTGCCTCCTGATTGGATTATTTGAAAGGCAAATGAGAATTGTCCAATGAAATGAGTTGATGCATTGTTCTTAGGCAGTAAGCGGTAGTGTTTGGGGGGTCGACGTTAGTTCCAAGACTCAAGTCTAAGGTCCACCACGCACTTGCATTGCGCATGTGAAGGTCGTATATAAATAGGTCATCGCTAATGACGCTATATGATCTATGGCATGATATGTGTAATTGCCAATGGGATATAACAGCGTTGAGGGTCTGCCGCTATATTTTTCATTCAATTGAAATTTTTGTTATTCAATGTTTCATATTCATGCAATATTCTTTTTTCCATTCAATGTTGTCTCATGTTTTCTTGCAGTATTTTTCATGCAATTCTTTCATGCAATTATTTTTTCATTCAATGTTGTTTCAAATTTTCTTTTTTCCTTCAATGTTGTCTCATATTTTCATGCAGTAATATTAATACATCAGTGTATGGACCTTCCAGCACTAACATCCCATAGACAGATTTTTAGGGCAGTGCCACAGCTCTGTATGAATTCTGGTGAAAACTTTCTTCAAATTTTTTTTTCTTTAAATATAATTTTCACATAGTGTTTATAATGCATTAGAATAAAATTATAAACATAAATAAAATACGTAAAAATTTAGTGACAGTGTGGCAGGCTTGTGCGTTTTTATTTATTTATTTATTTATTTATTTTTATACTGATTTTTAATTTTGAAAATCTATTTTTTTTTTCAGGATAAGTTTAACAAACTAGAACTATATACTAGTATAAAATAGTAATCATGATAATAAAATCCTGAAATTTGAGATATGAAAATTAAACCTGCATGGATATAGAATTTCATTTTTTTATTGTACATGCTTTAAAGGATTTTAAGTAAACTTCATACTCTAGTATCCTGATAGCAGTAGGCCTATACTTGTGCGAATGCAAAAAAATCTTTATTACAACAGAAAAACAATCAAATGCACAAACATATGAATAAGTTGTTACAGTTTTCCAGTTTTATGCAATCCATGTTTGCAAACCTCTTATTATTTTCAACAGTGCAAATAAAAAAAATGTTTTTCTCATCTGATTTGCTTATACTCTTTGCCTTATGCAAGTTATATATTGGTTTTGGATTATTTCAACACATTATGCCCACTGAAATACATGGAGTCTGTAACATGCCTGAGAATCTTTCAAAATGTTCAGTGATGTTTGTCAAAGTTAGCAGACATGCTACCGATGGCTCAGATGCAGTAAAACTACCGCTGAGGAGAGTTGAGGAATACTTTCGTGTTACCAATGTCAATTAACATTGACCTCCTAATTCACAGAGGCCAAGGGACTCTGTTACTTCTGGAAGTCAGAAACGTGGTCCTCTCCTGCTAAATCATAGATAACCTGAAGTATTTTTATCACATTTGTAAATACAATAGTTCCCTTGCTCAGTTATACCAATCAAAATCTGTGGTGTTCAACTTTTGGTGTGAATTTTAAGTTAGTCATGCTTAATAATCAGCACAATTTTAAAGATGTCATAATACACGTACTATAATTAGTACTATCTCTATAATCAGCACTATCAATGTCATTGTTGTATTACATGGTGACCCCCAAACAGAGAAGAACCTATAAATTTTTTTTTCTACGAAGGTTTTTTCCCTTGGTTGATTAAGAGATGTTGGAAAGATTATTGTTCCAATATTTCATGTACTAACTAGATTTGTACAGTATACCCTGAAAGAGAGAGAAAAAAATGTCTTGTGGTTCTCTATTTTTTCAGTTATTTCTACTGTCAGGCCATGTTTTATTATTTACACATTTTGAATTTCGTTTTAAAACTTGCAATAACAGTTTACAATGGAATTTCATATTTATTAATGTAACACCAAAGTCGTATCACGTTTAATCAATGATAATATTAATAATATGTTTCTGATGCAGATTCCTCAATTATTTTTCAATAAAACTGAGAATTTTGTTCAACTTATAAATATGAATTTCTCATAAATATTTCGAAAAAAAATTAAAGTGTCCATAAACTTGTACAGACTTGATGATCAGACGGATGATGTACAATCTGATTATGCTACATTTTCGATCAGTACTTTGTATTCTGTCCATCCTTGCCTAAGGTTTGTACCTGTTAACTTGCAATGGTTAATGAGAGCAAATATAACAGGACCAATTTAACATGGTACTTTGTTGGGTACTTCAATAAAAGTCTGTTTAAAATCTCTTTGTTTTCTGAAACTAACCAGACTGCAACAAACTTCTGATAACAAACGTGAATTTAAACCTTAAATATAAGGAAAATACAAATTCTGAGGCATACCCATACCCCATACCCGCAATAAAAAAATTAATTTGAAGGAGGATTCTTCCCTTAGTTCATGATCACAACAGGTCCAGTGATCTACAAGGATACAATGGAACATTTTTTCCATGCAGTGAATCTTAGCTTGTGAATGAAGCTAATGACCGAAGACTAAAATGTAGGCCTGCAACAAACGAAGAGGAATGATATTTCACAACTATTGCAGCAGCTTTGTGAACCCAAAGGTACTGTACCAGTACCTTGTACATGCAGGGCCTGAAACCTGAAATGTATATAGGTGAAATAAGAGTAACGTATTCTGTAATGTACACATGAATAAGAATTGTTTTTATTTTTTTGTACATAATCCTACAGCTAAACAGTAAATCCTTGTATTATGTGGTTTGGGGTCAATCATTCTGCAAAATGAAACATATGCTTTCAAATATATATATACAGTATATATTATATAATTATATATATATATCTTCACTATCAACTAGCCAAAAGTCACAGGGTGGGTTTTCCATATTTCCCTATATCAAATCGCGATGTCGGAGCAGTTATAAGAGACAACTCAAACAACGTCTTCAGTTCCAAATCGTAAAGTTCTTTTATTTATCTTTGAATCAAATTTTATATTATATTGCCAGACAAAATAACATTTTTTAATGTTTATTTTTTTTTTATTTCTCTTGAGAAAATCTAGAAGGCAACTCTCACACCATACCTATTACATTCCAACGCATCTTTGACTTTGCTTTCATTTAGGTATGTGGGAAAAGAAAACCTTCTAGTGTCTCAGCTTCATAATAACAATATCATACCTATATAACCTGCCGCACTGGTAGAGGGTACCGTTTGTCCAAAATTTGCAAAGGGGTCCAACTATGCTGAGTGCTTACACCATGCAGATTGTGTAACAAATGAGTTGAATACCTTCCTGATGCAGATGCCGCCACAATGTATATACGTAGTCCTATGCACAAGAAACAATGAGACAATTCTGCTGAACGAGAATTAAGCCAATATTTTACCATTAAACTTTCAATTACTTCTAACATATTATTCATAAAGTATGCTGAAAGGAAAGATGCTGAAATGATCACCAAATATCAAATAAATAGCTTGAATGATCCAGTGGAGTTTCTTGGCAAATTTCTTGAATTTATAATAATTGTCTTTAAAGCCAATAAAAGAAAAAAAATCTACAAATTCTTTTTTTCTTAACTAGCGAAATTAATGTCATCCACAACATTTGATGGGAACACATGGTATATCCAAATGGAAGTTATGCATTGGTTAGAATACAACAATCATGATATTTATTTTTTTTTTCAACAGGAATGATTTACATATAAAAATTACAGCTTGAATTACTGGTATAATAATTATAAGAAGAAGAAGAGGAATAACAAGGGACATCACAAAAATCTAATAATATTTTTTAATTTTGCATTCTGGGCGAGCTTAGTGTGACTTTTAAAATATGACAATATAATACTTTTAAAATAAATGTGTGTTTTTAAAGAGAGAAAATAAACAATTAACCTGCCTCTAAAATTTTTTATTCTACAAGTATATATATATATATATATATATATTTGTGTGATTTTGTACTTCGTCAAAATGTTTAATTAGACGGACATTTGCACCACCATGACTATTGTAAGAGGCACATGTATTACCACAGTGTACTTCTACTGTACAGAACAGTACCAAAAATGAATATATATCGCTTTCACGAGACGAGTAAAAATGAAGTTCAAAATTAAACTGACTATATAAAGACAAAACATAGTTCTTTTATTCAAATTAGATAAAAAAAATAATAAGAGGACATTCAACTTACAAGATAAACACTTAAATCGTCATTTCAAAGCAAACGAAGAAAACCGCAAAACTAAAGTTCTTACTTGAAGTTTAACTGAGAAGACAGCAATGCAACAGCATGCGATAAATTTGTTTTT